CGTGACACCGGTGGGCCTGCGCCCGGCAGGTCATGACAGAAGCACATGTCCCTCAAGTACTACTTCCTGCGCGAAAAGGTCAAGGAAGGCAACGTCAAACTCATCCATGTCAAGACAGCCAACCAACTGGCCGACATCTTCACCAAGCCGCTGCAAGGCCCAGAACACGCTCGCGCCATGAGGCACCTCCGTCTCGCGTAACCGCCGTCTCCACCAAGCTACGTTTCCTGCACAACTTCCATTTTCAAACGGTATCACCTGTATCACACCCTGAACCCTGTATCATATCCAGCAACTCGGCCTCACTGCCCCACCTCCCCGCCCACCTCAAAACGTGGAGGTCTGTCGACCGGGGGGGGTAGCGGTATGGCCAACCAGACCTCCACTGGTCTTAGGTCACGTGACTCGTGACCTCCTATTCGGTCCTCCCCTTCTGTACGGACCTCCTTCTCTGTCGCATAGGTAGTCATGTTTATGTCATTCCTTTTTTCCTCTGCTGTTACCCAGGCGCCGCCGCCCATCGCGGAGGCAAACGAGAGTCCGCGCTGGCGGCGATGGTGCTGGTGCAGTTGGGAGGAGCGGGATCAAACCCACGTGGCTCCAACACTCGACGTCAGTGCGCGATTGCTGTGCGCTCACCGTACGCTTAAACCGGTGGCGTGCCTGATTGCATCATGCCGTCAACATCGTCCCGTACCAGGCCCTGGGTCTCTGTAAGCCTGCATCTCGCCGAGCAAGGCGCAGACGACGCCGAACCAGTAACGCGGCTCCTCTCGGCTGATACGGCTGTAGTAACGTAGATAGTGTTAAGGTTTCTGCATTAAAGAATCCATCGTGATAAGACGTTCGGTCCGTTCAAGACGTCCAACGTGCGCTACCTGGACGCTGGTTCTACAAGTCGACTAGCTATGTATATACAACGTTACTGGCCTGCTTAGGAGCTCTCGACCTTGGTGAAGCGCAGGTAGGGGAACACAGTCTCGACGTTGTCGCCGAAAAGCTCCTTGACCTGCTCGCCCTGAACCGAAGGGTGGACGATAACCTTCTCTCCGGGCGTCCAGTTCGCCGGGGTCGTAATCTTCTTCTTGTCGCCCAACTGTAGGCTGGTTATGGCGCGACGGATCTCGGGAAAGCTGCGTCCCGTGGAAGCGGGATACGTGAGAATAAGACGGATCTTCTGCTGGGGGTCGATGACGAAGACGGAACGGACGGTGAAGGGGATGCCCTTCGCGTCGACGTTGGTGGCGTCCTGGTTGTCCAGCATGCCGTACAGGGTCGAAACCTTGCGGTCGGCGTCCGCAACAATGGGGAAGTCGACCTGGTTGCCGCTGAACTGCTGGATGTCCTTGATCCAGCCCTGGTGGGACTCGACGTCGTCGGCGGAGAGACCGACCAGCTTGACACCGAGGGCGTCGAAGTCCTTGGCCTCACCGGCGAGCGCACCGAGCTCAGTGGTGCACACGGGGGTGTAGTCGGCGGGGTGCGAGAAGAAGAGGGCCCACGAGTCCTTGATGTAGTCGTGGAACTTGATGGGACCCTTGTTGGTCTGAGCCTGGGAGGTGTCAGCGGATGTCTCAGAAGTGGCGGCGAGGTGGGCGTCGCCGTCGGCCATGCTTTCTGCTCACCTCGAAGTCGGGGGCGGTGTCACCAAGACGGAGAGCCATTGCGGATGCTGTGGATGTGTTTGTGCGGGTTGAGAAGAGGTTGTGGATGATGAAGAAAGGGAAGCAGCAGGGATGAAGCGGTTATATATTGTTTTCGGGGGCCACCTCCGCGCTGGCAGAGATCGGAAGGTATGTCACAAGTTACATTGATAATGGATCTCCCCACGGTAGGAACCGACGGTCATAGGCCGAGGATGGATGCCGTATGTGTGATCTGTCATGCCGTGCTTGGTTTAGCGTTAGAGAATAAGGTTGCTCATATCGCGTACGCGCGTGACATGAGGTGATCATGGACACAGGTACCGATTCGCTTTGCATCACGCTGTGCACGGCGCAATCTGCATTGATGGATAAGCAGAACAGCAGAAGCGACGGGACCGCAGCGCAGGCCAAGAACGGGCTAAGAGACCGATTTGCCAAAGGGACGTTTGATCCGACGATTGATGGGACTGATCGGGCCCATCTCGGTCGTCCTCGCCAACATGCAACGCAGTGGCTTGATGGCGTGCTCAGTACAAAATAATCAATCAATGCCGGCCCGGCTCCGGGGGAAATCCTCAAATCAGCCACGTGTGCCACAAGTTGAGCAAATCAATGACGTGGAGTACAGATCGGCCGAAGAGCCGCGAGGAACCCACGTGCAGCTGATAAGGGTCTCCGATTGAATGAAGGCCGTTCATGAATGTTGAGGGACTCGCGGCCGGACTAGGATGACATAGAATTTTGGGCGGACGGGCCTCTCAGCGCACGAGAATCGGCGTCTTATCAGTCGTCCAAATCTTCAACCCCTCCTCCAAAGTTTCAACAACCCGTGTTGACAGCAGTTCAACTCTGCTAGCTAACTATTCTGCGCCTTGGTGCGCCCAACACATCCCTTATAATCACCAAAAGGCGATCGACCTCACCCCCGATCGCCCGATAGATTCTAGACCCGACCGCTTAGACAACCTTTCCCAAAAACCTGTGTCGCCGCCGACGGCTGACACAGCAACAACAAATAAAAACGATAGCGACATGGACCGTCTGGACCGAACCACGCACTCGGGCTCGCCGCAGCCCTCGCCCCACGGCGCCATTGGCGAGCGCGCGAGCACCCCCCGGGCGGAGCTCGTCGCTTGCGCAGCGCCAGCGAGCCGACTCGTTGACGGACGAGCTGGATCTGGCGTCGCTGATCCCGCACGACCAGCGCCAGGCCGATCTCGAGCGCGACGATCTCGAGGACCGCGAGCGCCACGGCCGCGCCGGTTTCGCGCGTTTCAACCTCGAGGCGCCGCACAGCCGCACGTCGTCGCCGGCCCGCCAGTCCCGTTGGGAGAAGGACTTTGTCTCTCGGTCTCGCGAGACGTCGATGCGCCGTCAGGCGTCGACGAACAGCGTCGGCGGCATTCCTCCCCCGAGCATTCCCAACATTGCCGTGCCGCCCGCCAACCTCGCCTTCATTGACCAGAGCTTCCCCTCTCCGCTTCGTCCCACCCCGCCCCGCCACATGAGCCCGCACCCCGACCCGGTCCCCAGCCCGAACCCGGCCGCAGCCGTCAGCCACCACCTCCAGTCGCTGACAAGCCTGCTGAACCCTCTGCTGTCGGCCAGCGATGACGTCGCCCGCCTTCGCGCCGAGGTCGACATGTGGCGTGCCGAGTGGCAGCGGTGCGACCGCGAGCGTCGCCGCCTCGAGACGCTCGTGAGCGTTGGCGATGCCGGACCCGTGTTCACCGCTGTGCTGATCGACGGCGACAGCCTCGTGTTCGACGACGCTTACATCCGCAAGGGCTACGCAGGCGGTCAACAGGCCGCTCGTGCTCTGCAGGCGGCGGCTGCCGGCGAGGGCGAGGGGGCCATGCTCGTGCACGTATTCGTGAACAAGAGTGGCCTCGGTCATGCTCTCGTTAAGGCTGGGACTTGCAGCTGGGCCGTCTACGAGGCGTTCTGGCAGGGTTTCGCTGCCGCCGATCCGTTGTGGACGGTCTGTGACGCTGGACACTCCCAGGATGCCGTCGACGCCAAGATCGCGGCTCACCTCCGCCTCCTGGCTCAGAACAGGCAGTGTGTCTCCGTCGTCCTCGGCGCTGAAGTTGCGGACACTTCGTCCAAGGTCGTTCCCCTGCGCGCCTCGCCCGGTGGCAGGGCGATCTACGTTCCGGACCTGTTCCGTACGACGCGGCTCTCGATCCCCTCGTCGCCGGTTCAGGTCGGTCCCCCGCCTGTGCCTGGAGAGGGCGACTCGGATCCCGATGTCGGGGAGGAGTACCAAGGCCGCGCGGAGAGCGACGAGGACTGGGACGAGCGCAAGAAGGGAGCCCCGGGCAAGAAGTACAAGCCCGCCCAGCGTGCAGCCTCGGTGCCGACTGTGCGCAACCTGAAGCCTCGCCCGTGCCACACGTTCTACCTCTCGCCTTGGGGATGCAAGAACGGCGACGGCTGCGAGTACGCGCACCACTATAAGCTGAACGAGGAGCAGACGGAGGAGCTCGCTCGCCTCGCCAAGGAGATCATCTGTCCTTATGTCCGCTCCAAGCGCTGTCACTTCAGCGAAGACGAGTGCGTGTACGGCCACCGCTGTCCGCGTGGGGAGCGGTGCACCTTTGGCGACACTTGTCGCTTCAAGGACCTCCCTAATGGACACGGCGAGGACAGCCCCGCCCCCACCCCCGCTGCCACTCGTCCCTCCACGCCCGCTCCTGCTGTTGCCGAGTCGCAGCCGGCCTCTCCCTCCATCTCGACCGCGAACGCACCCGCCGGCCCGGTTCCTACCCAGGCTCAGGCTGCTCAGGCTGCTCAGACGCAGGCGCAGGCACAGGCCGCGACCCCCGCCGCTGCGTAACTAGACACAACACCAACAACCACATAAAAGACGACCCCTTGGGTCTGTCACCATTAACCTCTTAACTAAAGCAATAGCACCTCTCCAACCTAACGCATCACATCCACACATCCCACTTAGATAGAATTACTTTAAGTCATAAGTTCACTTAGAATGAATGCATCGCGCAACCGTGCCTCCATACTGCCCCATCTGCATGCTGAAGGTCGGTGAGTTGATAGCGAAGTGTGATAAGGAAGTGGCCGAGCGTTACAGCCTGCTTTAGGCTGACGCTGTGTGGAGCGGACGGAGCGGACGGAGCGGACGGGAAGGTCAGTCATGTGAACGCGGGTACATGAGTTATGCAGGGCTGGGTACGTTATCTGATCCCCAACCGTCTATGCGTGAGTGCGAAGATACGGGAATACGTGCGCGGGCACGTCAGCTGATCAGTCTGTCTGTGAGACAGTGGGTGGGCTGCGTGAGCCTGGTCTAGACCTGGTGCGAACGTTGCCGTGCAGATGGAGGAAGAATAACTGCAGAGACAACGGACGTGACTGATTTTGAGTTTGGCTAAGTTGTGAGTTTGGCTCTGTGTCGAGTTACGCCGTGACGGTTATTCCCACATTTGGTCGTCAAGACGTCTAGTCTGGTTCACTCGTTCGTATTTCTTTCGTAACTTGGACGTCACTGTGAGGTAGTGGTCCGATATCTTCTCTGCTGCCACTCAGGTAGTAGGGCCGATGGACTAGAGAACATATGGAGGGGGGAATGAGGAATGAGACATGAAGCTTAATGGCGACAAGTATCGGGCTGAGAGTTCTGACGAAACCTTACCGGCGAGCTCCGACACCTGTCTGTCTCCCATGTCTCGCGGCACATCTAGTGTCGCACCGAGGTACTGGACGTCATGCGTCTCTCGCATCGGCGTTTTCGGCGTTCCGAGTGGTGCTTCTCATGTTCCGCGGAACGCTGGAATTGCATACAGACGGAAGGAGCTCGGGGTGATCGACGCCAGCGCCCCGCTGACCTCCGAAGCGAAGTCTAGCGAGGTCCATGACGGAAGCGTGACGGGGAATAAATCTTGGAGAAAAGCTATCCCGGTGTCGCTTCTCTCCGGAATAACTTCTTCTCTTCGGTTGTTCGGATATGCTGATGTCGGTGGGTAGGACTGGGAAGGAGAAGAATGTCGGCCGGAGCTTCGAAAGTACGAAAGCAGTACGTATCGGGGCGCTGCGCTGGGCTGATCGTCGAAACGAGGAGGGCATGGTGTGCCACCAGGAGGGGGCGCAAGATCTTCGGACCGCGGTCGGAGACGTTCCTCCCTTGAGGAAGGGGTTTCTGGATCTTCGCTCTTCCTTCTTTCCAATGCCCTCCTCGTTGACTTCTAAATCTACTTCACAGCTGCCATCTGGGCTGGACGGCTAGCTAACGGACAGCTATCGCGCCAAAAGAAGTTGACCTGGCCATCTGCGCAACTGGATCGTCTTTTCAAGCCCACTTGCACTATGCACACGCCCCATCCACAGGGCCTTCCTCGTTACATTCTCTGCCGCCCCCGTCATCTTCCCCGTCATCTTCCCCGTCGTCTTCCCCGTCGTCTTCCCCGTCGTCTTTCTCGTCCACTCCTTTCCTCTGCAGTATCACCCCACGACACCTCATCGCTCAGTTCGCCACCTTCCATCTCCCTTCAGCTACCACAGTCAGAAAGTCGCCAGAGCATGGGAAGCGAAAGGAAGGCTCCCCATGAGGTTCCAACCGGCGAACAAGCTCCATAACTTGAGCCCCATCGGCGTTCTGCAGGCCATCTGCAACAAAGTGAATGAGAGGACGCCGTGAGTACGTTTCCGGGTTGAATCTTTTGTTGCGCTGCAGCCAACGCGATTCTCTTCGCATCCAGTGGCCGCGCTGTAACATAATGCTATGTTGCGTGGCCGGGCGGTGGTCCGTGATCATCTGCTCGGCGCACTCCAGTCGCCGAACTCACACGACGGCGACCCGACGTGGAGGTGTAGGTCATATGAAGCACGGCGAATGGGCGTCAGGCCAGTGACTGCGGAGTGCGTCCTCTAGTCTGCAAGAAGGTCGCCGTTCCCTGTTACCTTTCCTCTGGCTCCTCGGATGATCGGCGTGCCCTGTTGTGTCTCATGGACTGGATCGTCGATCTCTGTGTCAGTCTCGGCGTCGATCTCTGACGTCCTCTCTTGCCCAGCTCTCCACTGCATGCCAGTGATGATCGATCCTGCGGAGTCAAACCCCCACGAACGCTGGCCCTCGACCTCAGATCAACCGCCGCCCTACGCTCGTCTCGTTGTGGAGCGGTGCGCTTATAGCCGGGGAGTTGAGCACGCAGAGCAGGACATTGCCAAGACGATCGTCAGGTCAGGAGTGTTATGTCCAGAGTCGTGGGGTGATCTGCAGTTGATATGACCAGTTCAGGCTGACCCACCTGTCCGTTTGGACCGTCGCTTACCTCGGCCGTGCACCCTCCGTCCCAAAAAGAACCAAGTCCTCGGAGACCGAGCACTCGACTCCGCAGTCAGGAGCTTGGCGTGCGGCGCCGCCGGATGCACCGGAGTTGCCCCTGCAGGCTCAACGTTTGGATCGGCGTGACAGCTGCTTTGTGAGCACATTGGCTGGCAGACGTCTCTCACGGAGCGAAGAAGTTGATTCCAGCAAACCGACACAGTTTGGGATGTCCGTTCTGGGTGATGGTCAGTGCGTTGCTGATCCCCAACTCGGCCTCCGGCTGCCGTTGACCAATACCTTGACGGAATGCTGCGGCTAGCGTCAGATCTAAATCTCAGGAAATGTCTTGCCGGGTGCGAGACAGCGCCAAGTCGGTACAACACCGAGATAAACAGCGGGGAAGCAAGCGACGCAAGCGACGCCGGCGACACGTCAGGTGTCGGCCGCCTCACCAGGGCCGTTGGACGCCAACAGGGCTGCCGGACGTGCCCAATTGGCGGTTTCGTAGATTCCTCCGCTTGTTACACACTTGTGCGACGCCGAGCGGCCCTCGTTTGTGACGTCCATGGTAGAGCGCGGAAGGCGGCGTCGTCGCGGATCCGCTATTTAGCATTGTTGTTATGTGTGTGCTCAGTCCCGCAGTCTACTTCGAACGAGGTGTCCCTTGTGCTCATGCTGCACATGCTACACGAATTGTACCAGACAGCAAGGGTAGGGGGACAGGCACGCCCCTTCCTGAGCAAACTTGGGAGCACTTTGTGCTCGGGAGATGGTGTTGGTGTGCTGCAATTCAGTCATTACCAGACCTGGTGGACCTGATCAAGGGGAGAAGCGGCGTGGCTAAACGAGGCTGACGATGGCGTTCTCTCCCTCATCCGTCATGTCTGAACCCGCCGGGAACGGCCGCCAGTCTGTCACCGCCATCAGTCAACTTCCTGTCAGTAAGTCGAGACTGAGATAAGAAAGAGAAACAGAGTGGGATGTTTGTGGAATGTTAGAAAACGAGGTTGATGGCGAGCGACACATCATCGACTGTAGTCTTGAGACAGGGCCAGCTAATCAATGAGGCCATGGCGCGACCGTAGTTTGTGTGTCCTACCCTCGCCCAAGCACAGGCCATCAACCTCGATCTCGAAGCCCTTCCTCCGTGTGCGTGAGTCGATCGATGAGGCTTGGACTTGAGGATTCTCTTCGTTCCGAGGTGCGCAGAAGATGTGGAAGGATATATGCATACTCGTGTTTGCCTTACAAGGCCAGTGCAAGGGCAGCTTAAGCTTGCCCTCCCCATACAGGAAGTTGGATGGACGAAAGGGCATGCGATTCGACACACGCTTCCCGTTACAGCGGAGAGGGGTGGAGCTGTGCTCCAAACAATGTAAAGGTTCGCTTAGTGCCTGCGTGCTGGGCGACGTACATCTTTACTCCCCTTGAGCACTCCTGTACATCCATTTCCATCTCTATCTTTCCCAACCCGTAAGAGGTAGATCACCGAGCACACAATGGCGAGATCGTCAGTAAGCGCAAGCCGCCCATTGAGCTCCTGGAATGGAAGTGTAGTCTGTGCGCGTAGTTTCCAGCGTTCCAACCTACGACCTGGCCAAACCCACCGACCCCACCGAGTTCTGGCCATGCGTTGGGCGCATGTACGTGCGATGTCCCTTCCGGTGGAGGCGGCAACAGGGGGGCAAGACGGACGACGTACCGCAGGTACAGCAAGTACAAGGTTTCGATCGCATTCAGTCTCGGTTCTTACCGCCCTGCACTTTACCACGAGCGATATATCGGTGCGTGGGTCTTTATACAGAAAGACTGCGAGCCTGGGCCAGTCACCGGCGACATTTAAGCTCGAAAGTGCTGAGTTGCGGCGCTCATCTTCCAAATAGTGGTCACCGTGCACACTTCTGGGCCCTCCTACTGATCTCCATTCTGTTCCCCTGCACTCTTGTCGCCTTCGCAGTTGTCGGAGCGACAGGCGAGCTTCGCGACAACAATGCATTGTGGAATCAGGGCGAACGTGAAGGGCGTCCGGCCGTCTCAAGTCGAGTCTCAGAATGTTCGCTGCAACACCAGCTGGCGCAGGCCCCCGTACCTGTGCGTACCTCGCAATCGAAACATAACGCTTGCTTCGTGCTTCATCTGTCCGGAGTGTTGCGAGTGGTCGGGGCGTTTCTGGGACAAACGTTACGTACAACTTCAAGGAGTGCAGGAAAGAAAAAGGAGCAAATGGTAGGCCGGGTCAATGAATGCCGGCGCGGAAAGGGCATGTACGTACGCTCTTGGGTCAGACCCATGACCCACTCAGCGCTGCGATCCAACTCATGAAGGGGGCGACAGAGTTTCGGGTCGTGCTAGCGGCGCAGCGGGCGTCAAGTGTGGTGCCAGAGAGCGGGGGCTGCCGTACACTTGTCGTCATGGTGCTGTCGCACCTGGCTTCCCCTCTGTTTGGGCCTGCGTTCGTCGCTTTGCGAGTCGTGGATCTCGAGAAACAGCGTAAGGGTCAGCCCTCGTGCCCAGGAATCCGTCTACGAGCGCAGGATACGCAGGAGCTGAACCAGACCTGCAGGCTGTGGGGGTGAATTGGCGACGTCGAGGCGCTCGAGGGACGTCGAGGGCCAGCGAGGGCCGTCCCTGTGTGCCTGGGTGGTACCCTTTATTATGTGCTGAGGTTCAGGACACCAAGGCACGCAGCACATATCGAGAACTGGAGACCATGTCCAGTGGTGGATCTGTTAAAATGTGCGCGAGTGCAGTGCCCAAGAGTAGAGCGAGAGTACGCAGCTCACACCTCGTACGAAGCCTTCTGCGTCTTCCTCGATCCTCACTGATCCCTTCTCTCACTCTCACACTCACACACTCGCTCATCACGCACGACCCGTCGACCCCGTTTGCTCTCTGCGCCACCTGCTTGCCTGCCCGCAACACCTCCGACACGACCGGCGCCACTCGTTCGCCCGACGACCACTCCACCCGACCGACAACCCAGCTTGCCCGCTGGGATGGTCCAGGTGCACCTTTTCCAACAGAGTCCAGACTACTCTCGTCTACCCTCTATCGAGGACGTGAGGGGGTATCAACCGCCTCCGTCGTCTTTCAGCACTCTTCTGGTTCCTCCATCGTCTGCTTCGCCCCATTCCTCTCCCGTCCTCCCTTCGTCTTCCTCCCAGCTCTCGCGCACCGACAGCCGCAACTCTGACCCACGTTCTCGCTCCTTTGTTTCGCTGGTCGAACCCATGGCGCGCGCGGCGCAGAACCTCGTCAAGTCGAGCGTACCCGACGCGCTCATGGCGCACTTCCCCGATTCGAGCAGCGAAGACGGCGTCGAGGGCTTCGCGGCGCAGTTCCCTCACCCGCCTACGGCTCCCCTTCCTCCGCTACCTCCGCTGACTGGCGGTGGGTTCGCAGCGGCAGCCTTCGCCGGATCGACGCCGAAGCGACGTGCTAGTGATCGGCACAGCGCCTCGTCCCAGCAGTCGAAGCAGTCTGGCCAGTCGAAACAATCAGGCCCAACGGGCAAGCCCCACCTGCCGCCGATCAACACAGAACGAAGAAACAGCGTTAGCAGCGTCCGCTCCGCCGCCTCCGCCACGCCCTCTTCACCGACGATCCCGACGACGCCCGTCCCTTCCTCTCCCGTGTCCAGTGCCAGCTCAGCGAGTTCTCCAACCCTAACGCACAATTCGACGGACACGGGGTTATTCTACTCGCCCAGCCGCCGCTCAACAGGCCACTACGTCAGCTACCCCAAGCCGTCCCCTCCGATCGGGTACGAGGACAAGGCGCGCGCATCCCTGCCCCCGACGCCGTCCGGGCCTCGCGGCGGCGTGCGTAGTGCGCGCAACTCGCTCACGCTGACGGCACCCCCGATCCGCCCCCCACCCCCACATGCCCCGAGTGCGCCCGACCTGCGCTCGCCCAACTTCGGCTTGGGCCTGGGCGACTGTATGGCCCTCAAGTCGCCGCTGGAGGATATCGACCCCCGCGACTTCCAGGACCCGCCCGAGCCCCCGGCAGCCCACAATAGGGCGGAACGTCGTCAGACAGTGGATTTCACACAGCGCGATCACGATAGGCCCGAGAGACCCGAGAGCCGCGCCAGCCGCGCCACGACGCTGACCTCGGGCAGCTCCGAGGTCCGCGGCCCGCTCCGCGCCAGTGCGGCAGCCCACGCAAGAGTGTATCGGAGACAGGCGGCTGCGAATGCCGTTCGCGCAGTCACGAGTGCAGAGGACGAGGCGCTCGATTACAAGCCCAGTCGCAGGAAGCGGCTCGGCGACCATAACCGCGTCGCGAGGTGGTTGCATAATGCCGTCTCGAGGCCGTTCGGGCTCGAGACGATTGACGATTAGTTTCTACATTCTTCTTCTTCCACTTATTGGATTTCCTGCCACACACGCAGACGGAGCGCGGATCAACTCTGGCCGTGTGCGCGTATGCTCTCTGCGGTACTGCGGTGCATCACTGCTTTACCGCACTACTTCGCTGCTTCACTGCAATACTCCGCCACTACTTCATTTGCCTGTCCCTCGCTAGACGCGACATCTTACGCTTAACCAACACAACCTTAGCTTACCATGCCCGCGGGGCGCTATTCTCTCCTTACCTGCTACGACCCTACACGCCCTTGTACACCGTACTCTACCCGTACCTCCGCGCTCTGCTAATCAGCGCGCATGTAATGTATCACTTCGACTATCTCAGCCGTGCACATCTAGTACTCCCCCCTCCAGCCTCCCACCTCGGGTCAGCCAGTATCAGCCAGTGCATGTAAGCCAGCTGATCCAGAGCTAGTCCGCGAGAATAACAGTGTATAGAATTCATTAAGGAGGATGTATACGCCAGGTCCCAAGGGAACGCAGGCTCTGTACAAATGAAAGTGGAAGGGGAGCCCAGTGTCGCTCGTGAAGGATAAATGTGTTAGAACGAGGTCGTGCTGTCGACCTCGATCGTGGGGACAATGCTCGCGATGAACTTGAGGAACTGGGGTCAGCTTGGCTATGCACGATGCGCGTAGCTGAGAACGCAGGGAGTTAACGCAGTGAGAAGGCAACCGTGTACCCTAGGACCGAGCGACCTCGTAGCCTTACAGCCCAACAGCCATGAGGTTTAATGGCCTGACGGCGGCCTGACGGCCACAAGGTCGAGCGGCCTGATGGCTTCCAGCCTGTAGCCTCACAGCCTTGCAACCTGCAACGGCCAGCCTCGCAGCTCCCGCTGCTCGGCGCACTCACAATAACCAGATAAAAGTCGACCTGAACACCAGCCTCCTCGTCGCCATGCGGCGTGCTGCCCCCGCTCGCGCCCTTCTTGTCGCTTCCCGTCACCTTGCGCATGACGCCGGGGAGCCAGCGGCGCTTGTCCTTGCCGTCCCTGCCGTCCTTACCCGGCGGGGGCACCTCGGCCGTGCTCTCCTCCATGCGGTCGATGAACTTCTTCATGACGCTCGCGTGCTTGCAGGGGTGCACCGAGGCCAGCTGCGTGCCACTGTGCGGGAACGCCTCCATCGTCATCGTCTTGAAGGCGTGGTCGGCTGGCACGTCCTGGAAGATCTCCTTGACTGTCAAGGGCTTCTTGTGCTGTGGGTGTCAGTTGGAATGGCCAGTGACATAAAACTGGAATCGACTGCGGGCAGCAGGCAGCGCGCGCTCCGCATCACGCACCTCGTCATATCCGAACAGCCAGAAACGGGGCGTCTGGTAGTGCTTGTCGTACGAGATGTAGCAGTCGTATGTCCGGACCTGGAGCAGGTTGTCTGAGCTGTTCTCGCTTGGCCGCACCGCCGCGTCGTCCTCCTCCTCGAGTCCCGCCGCCTCGTCCATGTCTGGAATATCGTCCATGTCGGGGATCTCGTCGTCGTCGCCAATGTGCAAGCCTTGCGTCGCCGCCGTCAGCGACGGCGAGTCCGGGATCTCGGCGACGGTATCCGTGTTCGTTTCTGCCCGTCAGCTTTGGGCGACTTTCTCCAAGCTCACTTCTTCCCAGGTGGGTGGCGACCCATTCTCCATCAGGCTCGGCTTCCTCGGCCTGTTTCGTCAGCTCTTTCCCCATGTTCAGCTCACCTCGTCCAGGAAGCTCAGCAGCTTCTCGGCGTCCTCGTCATCGTCGGTGTAGTTGAGCGCAGTGGCTCGGCGCAGGCACGGGACTGGGCGTCAGCGGCGATCGATGGCAAGGTGGCGATCGGTAATCGGTGTGATGGACGGCAGGGTGCGATGCGGCATGCGACAATGCGACACGCAACACGCCGAGTGGAGGATGGAGCTGCTACACGTACCGTTACGAGTGATGAGGTACTGCTTGTCGGCCGGAAGAAAGTCACGAGCACGCCCCGGGTCACCCTTCTCCCTGTGTCGAGTCAGCTATGGTCACCAGCGAGCGCCCGATCGCGCCCGGCCACGCAAGACTCACCACTGCCAGACGGGGAACTTGAACGTCAGGAAGTCGCCCGCCGCAACGAACTCCTCTGCTCTGTCAGCTTGGTAATGGTGATGAAGCTCACCAGGAGTGATCCTTCCATGCTCCTTGAACTTGGATTCGCGGAGGACCTAGAATGAGTCAGTGGGAGTGATCGAGTGGACCGGAGTCGGCCGTGGCGTTGGGGTGGCGAGACGTACTGGTGAAAGATAGTCGCGGACGGCCCAGTACTGGCTCTGATTGTCAGCTCCTTCAACGCTTTGTAAGCTCACCTGGATGGCCAGTAGGGACGAGTTCATGGTTCCGTGAGTCGTGGACTTGTCGGAAAGGGAGTGAGGATGGTCGATGGAGAAAGAGGACGGACTTCAGTCACGCCAAGTGTGGTCGTGAGGAGTAGCAACCAGCTCTGTGCTGTCCGTCTCGGGCACCACCCGGCAACCCCCTGCCCTAGCCTAAAGCCCTGTGCGCGGTTGCGTCTGGACCACCCGATCCAAGGAGCAGTGACGCTCATTTCACGTGGCTACCCAAGTCTGGCAGAACCAAATGGTTCCGGCGCAGTCACGTGAGCCTGGCCGCCCACCATTCAGTGGGGTCTCACTCTACGACATTCGCAACGTCCACGCCAAGAAGCTCGTTCCAGGAGCTGAAACAACCATGGTGGAAAAGTAGAAAGAGAGAAGTAGCTGTCCGTATTAGCGTGACCGCCTCAAATGCTCATGGGTGAGATATACGCATAGATGCATGGTTCACTGCAAATCGTAAATTGCATTGCGACTGCAACTTTATATCGTTATGGTTGTTTGGTTCCTAGTGAATACGGTGATGAACGGAGGGTGCCACGGATGTCGGCGTTTTGCGGAGGAGTGATGTCAGTGTTCTGCCACGCGCTTGCTTTCTTTTAGTGTTTGGGTGTAAACAAGCGCGGGCGCGCGGGCTTGGCCTGGGCGTTCAACTGCGGCCGGAGGCACACTAGGCACACTACTCCTGGGCGCTGCTAGCCTCTCTCACGCTTTGCTGGCTGGCTTCCCCCGCGGCTCCCAGGCCACAACATTGCAATCCCACTCCCTACTTTTGACATAAACAATCAATCACACCCCGCCCCCCCCGCCTAACTTCTTCTTACTTTACGCCCTCTCCTTCCGACAACAACAGCCATCGACACTCCGACAACCCCGTCCTTGTGCATTACTCCACCGACAGGCGGCGACCGACAGCAACAACATCAACGACAACAACAACGACTGCGACGGCAACCACTGCACGGGCCCCTTACCGCCGACTGCCCCGCCATCGCCCGTCCTACCTGATCAAAACAAACAACCCTGCCGTTGTCTGTCGTCCATCGATCAGATCAGATCCACACAAACAAGCCTTTCTCACCTCTTCCCTCCTACTCACCCAGCGCAAGTAGCCAGCCTTCTCAGTCATGGCATCTGGAGGAGAGGACAGCCCCCAGGTGATGGCACCGCCGCCGCCTCCGTCGCGGTTACCGGTCCCGCAGTCACCAGCTCACAGGGCCACTAGGAGTGGTATCCTGAGCTCCAGCGCGAAGGGCTGGTCGCCATTGCAGATTACGAAGCGCAACCCCGACTCTGTACCTTCAACACCGGCGAAGGAGACTGGCTCTGCTCGTCGTTCCTCCAACTCGTTCCGTCACATGGCGACTAACAGTCTCGTCGCCAAGTCGCCCTTCAAAGACATCCGCACAGTACAGGGTGCCATGTCCGCAGGTCTCGACTGCTCCACTAGCTCTAAGAAAGAAGTAATCCACGAACGAAGAAATCCCAACCGAGCCCTCGGCCAGGCCCCGACCGCCGCTGCTGGCAGCGCCAACACCCCCAGGTCTGCCGTCGGTCTTGGCAAGTCACGGTCACCGCCTGGGTCCGCCGTTAACGGCACCCGCAAGGTTTCCAACGAGCGCAAAGTTTCCATTCCGTCGACGGCCGAGCGCAAGGCCAACATGGAGCGTAAGGTCTCCCGGGAGGAGAATGATGAGAACGACAACAAGGGAAGCATCAGCAAGAAGAAGAAGCTGCCGCGACAGAGTATGGCCTACAAGGCACTCGTTAAGAACGAGTATGTGACCCACTCCCCCTTCTTAACGGAGCGCGCCAACAACTCGGCCGACGACTCGGAGTTCGACGAGACGGAGAAGAGCATCCAGCCCTCGATTGGGTCTCCCAGCCCCCGCCGCACGTCGAGCGGCAGCCGCAAGCGTTTGGCCAGCCCCAGTGCCAACCTGGCTCAGAACCGGACCTCCATGTCCTCGGCCGCTTCTCCCTCGAAGGCTTCCCCCACCCCTGCCCAGCAAATGTCCCCAAGCAAACAACAAATCTCGCCCAGCAAGCAGATGTCTCCAGGGAAGGAGAACTTCCCCGCTCGCACGCCGACAAAGTCGTCTTTAGTCTCGAAGCGCATGAAGGGTCCCCGATCTGCCGGCAGCGCATCCCCGCCCGCCCGTCGCAAGTCTGTCTCGTTCCAGCCTATCCCCGACGTTCGGGAGTTCGAGTGTCCTAGCACGGACGTCTCGTACAACACGAGCGTTGAGCCTACCAGTGTTCCCGACACCGACGACTGGTACGACGAGGAGACGAGCTGGGTTGGTAGCATCATCAAGGACGAGGTCGACCTGGAGTTCCGACCGGTTGCTCAGGTGCACGCTCCGCAGTCCCAGCAGCAGGTGCAGGATCAGGACCGGTCTTTCGACTCGATGGAGGAACAGCCCATGGGCGACGTTTCTGCCACTGCCGACTTTATGGACTCCTTATACGAAGAGGGTCTGTTTGGAGGCGACTCCATGGAGCAGGACACCCCAGTTGTCGAGCAGCGAGCTACCTTCGACGGTCCGGCGGAGAGCAACGACGACTCGGAGGGTACCAACGACGGTCCTCAGCTCACGACTCCTCACATGCCCAACTCGTCTCTCCCAGACCAGCAGATTGGATTTCCCAGCAGCCCGCACCACAAGCACACAATCCACCCTCACCCGCCTCCGATCGAGCAGCCCCATCTTCCCCACAACGAGGACCACCGCATGCTGCTCAACGCCGACGTCTCGCAGCCGCACATTCCTTCTCCTCGCAAGGAGTCGACGCCCGATGCTCCGGGACCGCACGCCCACCAGGTCGGCGCCATGTACGACCCCTTCATCTCGATCCAAACCGCCACTGAGTTTGTCGGCGATGCGAAGGAGCGCTCGGAAGATGGCGTACCTCTCGGCCGCACGTCCCACGCCGACCGCGTTCACGCTGCTCGTGTTCTCGCAACCCAGTCGCTCGGCTTGGGCTTCCCTGGTCGCTCGCGCTCGCCAACGAAGAGCGGCAGCAACTCTGGAGCGAGCTCGCCCGGCTTATCGGACGGTCAGGCGACGCCTGTTCCCCAGGGAACCCCTAAGAGGGGAGGTCAGCCGGAGGAGGACGTCTTTGGTGCTGTTGTCACCAGCCCGGCTGCGGCTCGCAAGGTGAGCCCTGCCGCCCGCAAGAGCCTCGACCGCAAGGTCTCCGACGTTCCCGAGCTGCAGGGTCCGTCCAGCCGCATGGCTCAGTTCCGCGCGATGAAGGGATCGCCCTCCAAGCGTTCGCTGCCGAAGCCTCCCAAATCGCCCGCACCGGCTCCTCAGCCCATCGGTCTGCCTTCTCCTGTCCACGACCGCGCTTACAGCTCGGCGAGTGAGTCGGAAGTTGAGCCCGTGTCCGAGTCCGAGGGAGAGTACCGCCAGGATGTCATCGAGGATACTCAGAGCAAGCGCCTTTCCGACCTGCCGCCCCCGAAGCTTACCCTCGGTGAGGATTTAGAGTCTGCGCTGTCTCCTTCGCCTCCTCCCCGCCTTGCTCTGTCGCCCGAGCTCGAGGAGAAGTCGCTTCAGGACATCACAGTCGACGACGAGCCATACCGACCCGAGACGCCGACGCACCTTCCGTCTTCGCCTTACGCCGACAGCCCTCTGACTCCCAGCCAGCGTTTCGCTCGTAGAGCTGTGCGAGACGAAGAAGAGGATGATATCTTCACCCCTCCCCGACCGCATAGCGAGAGCAGGGAGCGTGAATCGAGCCCGCGAATCCCGTCGTTCGAGTTTGAACCTTCCAACCTCAGCATTGATGTGGACGTGGACTCGGACAGCTCGATCGACGGAGCTCTGCACGCTCTCGGTGGCATGCAGATCACTGACGGCCGCGACCTGATGGAGGGCATGCAGTCCATGGACGGCATGCACTCGCCCAGCGTCAGGAGCTCTGTTTGCTCGGTGTCTTCGCAGGGAGAGTACGCTACGCCGCTCGGCTCCGTCGACGACCACGAGGACAGCATGGACACGACCATCCCCGCTATCAGGCCGCCGACGACGCCTCGTTCCGGCTCGCCTGCGATGGCTCGGACATCCTCCCCTGCCACTCCCACCAGGGCTGGTTCGCCCAAGGTCTCGACTCCGCTCCGAGCCACTCCTTCGCGGGCGCACGTTACGTCGCCTCTCTCGGCTGCTCCCATCATGGCTACGGCTCCTTTGGCAGCTGAGGGCGAGTTTGGCCCGCAGGTCCCGCCCAAGGACGACGCCGAGGTCAGCACGACTACTCGCATTCGCCAGCGCATCTCCCGCGATGCCATCCGCGAGCAGGTCAACAAGCGAGTAGCTGCCGGTGAGCTCTCCCTCAACGGTCGCCCAACATCTGTATTCCAGCCCCAGACAACTGCCGAGGCTTCGCCCGTCAAGCTGGCTGCCCGACCAAACTCGGCGAACGGCACCCCTGTTAAGCTTCGATCTAAGAAGTCGCTGTCTAACATCACGGCCGCTGCCTCCTCGAAGATGGACAGCCCGAAATCTGCCCTGGATCGCATCGCCGGTGTCTTTAAGGGAGACGAGAGCACCGAGACTGCGTCCGCCCCTCCTTCGTCCCCTCCCCTTTCTCCTCCCCGTTCCCAGTCTGTCGCCGCTACTACCCGGCCAGCCGAGCCTACTCTCCCTCGCTCTGCTGCCGGCTCCATCGTTGATGACCCCAAGGCTCTCGCCGCGGCCCGCAAGTCACGACGTCGTTCGAACAGCACCGGTGATATTGGCAGTGTCAACAGGAGGGCACCCCGTGTCACGCTTGGGCTTGACGACGACGCGGTTAGTATCCTTGACTCGTTCCGTGACGAGACGATCGACGAGTCGGTCAGTGAAAAGCACTACCGCATCCGAGAGGAGCGCCGCCAGGTCCGTGCTACCTACACCGGATCTGGAAGCCTTTCGTCCCGATCTGGCGACAATGACTCGATCAAGGCGTGGCGCCCCATCCGGAGACCGAGTGACATGCACGAGCACTCGATCGAGCTGCGAGCAGCTCGTGAGAGGGAAGCCCGCGAGGGCAAGGCTAGTGGCACTGTGTTCGTCAAGGTGCTCGGTATCGAGTCGCTGTCTATGCCGATGCCGAAGGAGCCGACGTACTTCCGTATCGCTGTCGACAACAACCTCGATTACATCCGAACGGATCGCTTCTTCGAGCTGAAGGAGGGTGCAAAGATCAACCAGGAGTTTGTCATGGCGGAGAGCGAGAACTTTGAGTTCTCCATCGCGATGGAAATTCGTGCGGACCCGCACATCCTGCGCCTCATGCACGAGAAGGCGAACCCGCCGACAGCCCCTGCTCCCGCTCCTGCGCCCACGCCGGCTGCGCGGCCAGTCACCCCGACGAGCACGACGTCGCACAAGTCTCGGGGTCTCCGTGCTCTGTTTGGTGGTACGCCGAAGAAGAACAAGCACCAGCGAACGCAGTCTGTCCCCGTCACTTCCTCGGCGCCGGTTAAGAAGCCGTCTCCGCCGGCCAAGCGACCAGACACGATCGCTACGTTCTTCGCTCCGGGCGGCGACACGACGCTGGCCAAGACGCACATTGCCTTCAAGCCGATCGCGGAGCAGTGCGAGGCCAAGGTGCTCGAGATCCGGTACCCGATGTTTGCCATGGTGAAGCCCGCGCCGCTACCCGACGGAACGGCGCCGCGCAAGCAGCTTGCCAAGATCACGATCCAGGTGCTGCGCCTGCCTCCCCTCCCCGGCCTGGGCCCTGACAACCTGCCCGGCTCGATCGACGAGACGCTCCGCGGTCTGCGCCACCACAAGTGGCACTCGCAGGTGTACCACGAGGGCATCCTGACGCAAGTCGGCGGCGACTGTCGCGTCCCGCGCCGGCGCTTCTTCAAGCTGATCGGCGGCTCGCTCGTGGCCATCAATGAAGTGACGAAGAAGGAAGTGGCGCGGATCGACCTGCGCGAGGCGAGCGCGCTAGTGGACTGCAACAAGCCGGGTGTCGAGGACGATTATGACCCGTTCTCGGCGCGCCCGCGCTCCTTCCAGCTGCGCTTCACGGACAACGAGGCCATCGTCTTCTCGGCCGACAAGGACGACGACAAGGCCGTGTGGATGGACACGCTGCAAGGTCTGCTGGGCAAGGTGCCCTCGAACCCGATCTGGGCCGAGATGCTCTCCCAGTCGTCCAAGGAGAAGAGGGACCGCCGCCGCTCCAAGCGCAGGTCGAGCGCTATGCCCCCGCCCGCGTCGACGAGCTCAAGGACCGCAGGGCGCAAGTCGCAGGTGCCCACTGTGCATGAGTGAGCGGGCGGCAAAGCGAAGCTAGCTTCAAAGCTGCGCGCGCTCGAGCATTAGGAGTGTGAGTCCGCATGGTTCCGCTCCCTCTCCTATTTCCAAGTTTCTCTCTATAGTCTCGGTGGCTCGTCTGGTTTCTAGAATATTTCGCAACGCTACGAGTACGTTTTTGTAAACATATGTTGATACGTCTGAATGCACAATGCCAGGGTATGAGAAGTTGCTGGCGAGACACTCATCCATCCTCACCATCATTCACCAGACTGTCACTAAACTGTGACCAGACTGTCACTGGTCACTGGTCACTGGTCACTGGCCACTGGTCACTGAGTTAATGTTCACTTGAATCGTGACTGCACTATGTCAGTGTCCGCTCACACGAGCGCAGCCTTGATGGATCGGGGAGCGGAAGCGGGAGGAAGCGGGAGTGCAAGATGCTATGGAGATGCAGTGCATGCGGGGACCTGGCGCTCGCTCGCAAACGGGCGCACCGGTCGAATGCTGAGATGATGACCGGACCTATGACCTGGGGCGTATGACCTGGGAGACCTGTGGGACCTATGAGATGGGCGTTCGGGATGGTGTGGAGTGGGGTGATAGAGGTGGATGGGAGGTGGATGGAGGTGAATGGGAGGGGGATGAGAGAGGGGGGGTATCAAGATGCCAACGTCGCACTCTGGGAGTACAGGGTATAGACTTTTGCTGCTATGCCACTTTTCCGAGCTCACTGGACTGCTCGCACTGCTCGGCCACAGCTCGCTCGCTAGCGCACCGACTCATCGCACGCGCTGATAGAATAAGAGATAAGCACACTTCTCGCGTCCGGCGACGGTGCCCGCGCGTCCGTCCCTCTCCTCCTCCTCCGAGACAATCACGTCCTCGGTCGGGACGGGCTGGACCGTCTCGTCGTCAAAGTGCAGCCAGCCCGTGCCGTCTGGCCGCGCGACGCAGACCGTGTAGTGCCCGCCTGTTGCCGAGTGGCCGTGGTGGTACACGACGCCGAATAACCGGTACTTGATGCCCTGCGGCGTGCGCTTGGCGGGAGAGATAATCTCGGCAGGGATCGTGAGCTCGGTGCTGTACGCGACGGGCTTGGAGCGCTTGACGACGTTCTGCTCCTGCGGGTCGTAGACGAAGCGCTTCAGATGCAGAATCAGCACGGGCGGGAGCGTCTCGAGGTACACCTGCTTGGTTGCGTCGACGTTGGCGTTGCGCGCTGCTGACCAGACGCCGGGTACCGTCTCAGGCTCGTTCAGGTGCCGCAGCGCGTCAACGAGCGTGTGCACCTCATTCGCCTGGATGTCGAGCTGGAGAGGCTGGTACGGCTCGAGGGTGACGCTGTCCTTTGAGCCGGGGGTGTGGAGGACGGAGCGCAGCGAGCCGCCGAAAATGCGCGAGACAGACGACTCACGCGTCTCGGCCGTGCGCACCACGTGTGTCTTCTGCTTCTTGCCAACCTCGAGCCAGTCGTCGTCGTCGTTCCGCCGCCCTGTCGGCGAGACGGGCCGGTCGATCGTTCGCTCACTGTCCCCGTTCGCGGCCGCCGACTTGGCCACGGGCTTTGCGGGCGCGGTGCGAGAGTAGAGGTCGAGCAGCTCCTCGTGCAGCGTGTTCAGGAAGAAGCCGAGGTACTCCTCCGCGTCCTCCTGGTAGCCGCGGCGCATTGTGTCGAAACGCTTGTTCTCCTTCATCGCGTCGTACACGTTCTCCGGGATGAAGGCGTTGTCGCGCGCCTTGCCCTTGGGCGTCGACGTGCCGTTGCTTCCGTTGGTGGAGGGACCGGGGGCGAACTCGCGCAGGAACACGACCATGGCCTCGAGCAGAGGCGTGCGGCGAGCAAGGTCGGCCTTCAGGCGCTTGCCGAGCTCTTCGAACAGCTCAGTGAACGGTGTACAGTAGCGGAGGACCTGGAGAATCTGGGGTGGGTTAGCGCAGCTCAAGCAGAAATAACCTACAGTGTTGGCGAAGCACATGTTGCCCGTGTTGATAAGACCGCGGGGGACAATAGGCGCCGGGGCACCAGCAGGACGACCCGTCAGACCATCCGTGAGCAGACGAGCAAGGTCCTCAGCAGGCGTCGGGGGAGCTCCAACGGCGGCAGCCCACGACGACGGCTTGGCTGCGGGAGGCGACCGCGGCGTCGATCGTCCATCAGAAGGGGGGACCCTGGACGCCACGCTCTCAGCGGGCAACGAGTCGATCGACTTGGAAGGGGAAGGCAGGGTCGACGACGCAGCAACCGAAAGGCTGTTCGGGGTACCGGCGGCAGACTTGGCAGGCTGGGACGAACGGAGCAGCGACGCCCACGACGAGGGCTTGACGGAAGCAGGAGCGGGCGAACGGACGGGCGCAGGTGCGGGCGTGGATGCGGACGGCTCCGCAGTGGGCGCAGCAGGTGTCGGGGTGGCAACACCGGCCGCTTTCGATGCCTCGGGCTCGCGCGACAGCGGCTCGGTGATGACATCACCGAAAGTGAGCGCACGATGCGGTGGGGGCTGGCGACCACCCTTGACTCCGACAGCGTAAACGGCCTTCCCTCGCGGCTTCGACGACCCCTTCGATTGCCGTCGCGGGGCGGATTCTGAGTCAGCGGCGACAGATTCCGACTTGACGCTGGCGGGGACGAAGCGGGAGAGGTGGGCAGCGTACGAGTTGCCGCCCTCGGTGTCGTGAGCTGGCCTGTGTGGTCGTAGCCGGACAGGATCGGCGGCAAGCTGCTTCTTGCGGGGCATCGTGCACGAGGAAGGGGGAGGGGAAGTGAAGCCAGCAAGAGTCGCGCCGGTGAAGGTGAGTCCGGCAGGCTCGACCGGTGATGATTCCGCCAGGGCGGGAGGAGGGGGAGGATGGGATGCTGACGGTGCTGACGATGCAGAGTCGTTGGCGTTGTCTGATGAGGGATGTGTTGATGGGACAGTGTCTGGTTGTGCGGGTTGATCGACCTTGGCAGGTGCAGCAGATGCGGGTGCGGGTGCGGGCGAGGGTGAGTCGGTTGCAGCCGGTTCCGAAACTGAGGGCGGAGGCTCGAGTGACAAACCCAACGAGCCAGCATCCTTGGCCTTTTCCGGCACTTGTGCAGGCGGAGGCTGCTCCAGAACTGTTGGCGCCGATGCATGTCCGTTCGGCAACGGGCCGTTTGCGTTCGCGGGCCCATTTGCGTTTGCGCTTGCCGCTGTTCGTGATGTGGGCTCGTTCTTGCGCACCGGATAGTTGAAACCTTGGGCAGCAGGGTTCAGGCCCTTGGAGCTGGCGGCACTGACAGGAGGTGCGCTCGTTCCATTCGGTCCCCCATGCGGCGGCGGCTGCTGCTGTTGCTGCTGGTCGCCGCCCATGTACACTCCGTCTGGTCGGTAGCCCATTCCGTTGTACATTCCCGGCTGCTGGTACCCGACGCCGACGCCGTATGCATACGGATGTCCCGGCGGGTAGAACGGCTGCTGGGGCGCAAACTGGGGATTTCCGTGATACGCGCCCGATCCGTCGTCCTCATGTCCGAACTTCTGGTCGCCCTCGAATCCGCCGTACGGTCGTTGGAAATTGGCTCCACACCCCTACGTAGTAGCCGTTCTGCATGGTGCCCGGTCCTGGACCAGGTACTGGCATCTGGCCGTAGGGAGGGTAGAACTGCGGCTGGTAGTATCCGGGGTAGTTGTCGTATCGGAAGGCGGGTTGGAAGGCTCCGGCTCCGGGGTTGGGGTGATGCGGGCGCTGCTGGCCATGGTGATGGGGGAACTGCTGAGCGGCGTAGTAGGGGTTGTAGGGGTAGTTGTTGGGGGGATAAGGGGGCTGGTGCTGAGAGGGGCCTGCGGGGTAGGCGAGGGAGGGGTAGGTGGGCTGCTGTTGCTGGTGCTGCTGGTGCTGTTGGGGCTGCGGCGGCGGGGGTTGTTGAGGTTGTTGCTGGTGTGCGGTGGTGGTGTCTTGGAACTGGTGGTCTTGTGTCGGGGGTGGTGGTTGTTGGTGGTGAGCCGCGGCGACCGCGGTGGGTGCGCCGGGTTCTTGACCTGGCATGCTGCTGCGGACTGTGCCCTGTGCGTGCGATGGGCTATGTGTATGCTCTGTGGATATGCGATAGGGGAGTGTGTGTGTGTGTAACAGGAGTGGCTAGTGTAAATGGACAAGGACGAGGGGTAAGTGTGGATGGGTTCGGGTGGTGGTCAAACGAGTAGGTAGGCAATAGCGAGTGATGATGAGCGGTGAGATGGGGGCTCGCCCGCGACTCGCTCGGTGTCTCTCCAGCGACCACTCGCCATTGTGGCTCATTCTCACCCATTCATCACCGAGTCATTTCCACTCATTACTCGAAGCCATTACAAACGGAATCAAATCCATCATTTAGCCTCGTTTACAATCTCCGTCACCAGCCAGGGCGCGCAGGGCGGATAACCTTAAACTGACCAAGTTCATTCCCGGCCTCCACCTTGGGACATGCACACTCTATATCAACGGATCGATTATTTTCCCACATTATTCTCATTTAATCCCGTTCCTCCGAAAATTACAGGCGACCAGCCCACACACTGTCTGTCGCCCGTCCTAGACGATCATCCACCTCGTAACCTCCAGCATTGGATCCTTAACTTTGGCTCCATACACTCTTACCCCCCCATCTCTCAACCTTTCAACCCAATCGATAAAATGGCCTTCGGAGAACGCGGTGGACGAGGCGGCGGCCGTGGCGGTGGCCGTGGCGGATTCGGCGGTCGCGGCGGTGGTCGCGGCGGAGGTGCTGGCGGACGCGGCGGATCCTTCGGCGGACGCGGTGGCGGTCGTGGTGGAGCCGGTGGCCGTGGTGGTGAGTAACGCAGCTTATCTTCGGGAACCGCTAGCTGACAGTGACAGGACCCCGCGGTGGTGGTCGCGGCGGTGCCGGTGGCCGTGGTGGTGGCCGCGGCGGTGGCCGTGGAGGAAAGGCCGGTCTCGGCAAGAAGGGAGCTGGCGCCGTCACCATCGAGCCCCACAGGCACGAGGGTGTCTACATCGCCAAGGGCAAGGAGCACCTCCTCGTCACTCGCAACCTGACCCCCGGAGAGAGCGTCTACGGCGAGAAGCGCATCTCGGTCGCTACCATGAACGACGCTGGCGAGGAGGAGAAGGTCGAGTACCGTGTCTGGAACCCCTTCCGTTCCAAGCTTGCTGCTGGTATCCTCGGTGGTCTCGACGCCATCCACGTGAGTATCTGCTGACTAGCAGCTACTGTATAGATGCTCGGTAGCTAACCCTTGCAGATCAAGCCCGGAGCCAAGGTTCTCTACCTCGGTGCCGCCTCCGGCTCCTCCGTCTCTCACGTCGCGGACGTTGTCGGCCCCGAGGGCATTGTGTACGCTGTCGAGTTCTCGCACCGCCCGGGCCGCGACCTGATCGGCATGGCTAAGAAGCGCACGAACGTGATCCCCATCGTCGAGGACGCCCGCCACCCGCAGAAGTACCGTATGCTGGTGCAGATGGTCGATGTCATCTTCGCCGACGTCGCGCAGCCCGACCAGGCGCGTATCATTGCGCTCAACGCGCACCACTTCCTCAAGCAGGGAGGCGCGATCGTCATCTCCATCAAGGCCAACTGTATCGACTCGACGGCGCCTGCCGCCCAGGTCTTTGCGTCCGAGGTCAACAACATGCGCAAGGAGGGCATCAAGCCCAAGGAGCAGCTCACCCTCGAGCCGTACGAGCGTGACCACGCCATGGTCGTCGGCATCTACGAGCGTCACTCGGGCAACTAGACACCTCCCCCCTTAACCCCCTTCACATCACATCAACATCTTTGGCACGCATTTAGCCATTTGTATACCTTCGCCTATGGCATGTATTGGGATCGAGCACTGCGGCGAGCGGCAGCGAGCGAAGCGAGCGAGGCCGCAACGTGAGCGAGCGACAGCGAGCACAGCGAGCACAGCGAGCGCACTGTGATCTCTGAAAGCGATCGCGAGCTCCTCCTTTACATAGACTCAGGCGGATTCTGTACTTGTAGCCCACACCATACCCACAATGCACGGCCTATAGACTCGCTCGTATTCTGCTCGTATTCTGAAAGTTTTGCAGGACCGTCCTATGACGTCGCAGCAGTAATTTTTCGAAACACGCGACCAGCTCTTTGCACGTGACTGGACCTGGCTGGATCTCAGGCACGCCTCGGCTGGAGATTTGGTGGCTATTTGGCCGTGGCAATAAGGATGGGCGACGAGTGCAGGTATGGAGCGGAACAATGGAGGACGGGGATGCATATCCTAAGCAGAAGACAGAATGAGGAAGAGTGAGAGAGTTGGTGGAGTTTTACAGGAGGATAACGCTGAACGTCACCTGAACACAGCATATGCGCAGCCGACGATTTGAGGCTGCGAAGACAATGCGACAAAGCCCTGGCCGTCTTTCTCCTAATCGTCTGGACTGGGTGTAAGCTTAGACTCTGTACATGTACAGCTTACACCTTTTCTCGCCCCACATCCAACTTTGAAACGGTGAGATAGTGGGAACTGGCTGGTTAGTTAGCGTGTGAGGGCTCAATGGCTTACCCCGATGCTGTGGTTGAGATGCACTGACGATGGGTCAGCTAGTGAAGAGGAAGTGAGCAGCTCACCGTCTGTCATTCACCCGAGAAGTTGTGCAAAAGACGCTCTGCAAATCAGCTTGTGGAGGAAGTAGGTACCTTACCTTCTGCGGCCTGGGCGTTAGCTAGACAGGACGGGGCAGCTCACCATTTCTCTGGCCGGCGAATCCCGTGCCCTGTGGGTTAGCTATCGAGATCAAACTCTGCCCAGCTTACCGAATCCGTGTCATGTGGGCGTCCGTGTGTCAGCTTTGAGTGCGTGAGGGACTGAAGATCAGCTAACTCGTCAGGTCACGATAGCTTACCAACTGCCTGTTGTCTGTGATGTATTTGCTGATTGGCGGACCGTCTGCGTGTCAGCTCACGAAGGCACTTGGAACAGCTCACCTTCTGTCGATTAGCTAATGAGTACGAACCAGAAAGCTCACAATCTTCTAGTTTGGCTGGCTTACCGTCGCTTACCGTCCCAGCTTTGGCGAACGATGGCGAGTCGTTAAGTGCCCCCCGCCTGTTAGCTCACTGGAGAGCCTGGAACAGCTCACCGTCTGGAGATCAGCTACAGAGCAGGAGCAGAACAGCTCACACTCTTGAAGGTTAGCTTGGAAGTGGAGGCTCCGGGAAGCTTACTGTCTGCTAGTGAGCTCGAGAGGATCAGTGGTTCAGCTCACGGTCTGTGGGTGAGCTTACTGTAGACTGTCTGCTTCCAGCTCACCATAGCGCACGGCCGACCGGGATCTCTCAAATTGGCCAAGAGAGGACTGCCTGTCAGCTCTCCAAGCAAAGTGGTGAGCTCACAGTTTCAAGGTTGTGTCGTATCGCCTCGTCCGTTGGATGAATCCGACGGCTCTGGCGGTCAGCTCGCGTCAAGAGGCTTGTCAGCTCACCTCACCGTTCGTGACTCGGCTCCGAGAAACTAACGAGATTATGTAGACTGCTGATCAGCTGGACACCTTGCATGGACAGCTCACGTGGCGGTTGTGGAGACTGCGTGTTAGCTAAAGCCGAGCGGGAGGAGAGCTTACCAATATCAGTCAGCCCTTAGCACGTGAAGCTGGACCATACTCGCCTGTTGGTCAGCTACAGGTCTTCCGCCGTGTAGCTCACCTTCACCGGCTCGAGGAGACGTGGAGTGGCAGCTGAGATCAGTTTACTTGCCCTAGTGTTGAAACTCACGCTACCACTGGCGGCTGCCCCGGATACCACGCTCAAAAGCTCAGACACTGAGGTCAGCTTTACCTTCGACGACTTAGCTCACCTTGTCGCCCACTGCGGTGGTGTGGTTTCGGGAGTACGGTAAGATCCGATTGTCAGCTCCCACTACACATGGTCCTCAGCTTCGGATTATTTCCAACGGAGTGTCTCCCAAATCGAGCCAGGAGGCTGTGAGTTGGTTAGCTATCGATTCAACATCTTCCCTAAAGCTTACGTCTTCCTCCAGCCGACGTCTGCGCTTATCAATCCACCCGAACAGCCAAATCGCATATCAGAGCTGTAATCAGCTACCATGACCACTTCTGGTAGCTTAAAGAGGTTGGCGACTGGAGTCAGCTTCATTTCTGCTTTCACAGCCTACCGCCAAGGATTCCCGGGCTAGAGTACGTAGGGTCTGATGTCAGCTCGAATTATGCTGTACCGCATAGCTCACACATCAGGTCCACATTGCTCCCCACTTCGCTCTTTAAGGCACTGAGGATCAGCTGGGACGTGGACTTTTAAGCTTACCCAAGAGTCTTTGCTTGTATCGACTCCAATGAAGGATGCACAGATCTGGAGAAGTCCACTGTGCACGCGCATGGTAGCTTACGTGGGTATTCTGCCGAAATGGTGACGGAAGCGGGAGGCGATTGGCTGGGATCAGCTTGTCTGTGGTGTTCCGGCAAGCTCACCCTTCTTCCCCCAGCCGCAAGTTTGGAGGCTCGTTATCTGTCGTCATCAGCTTGGAACAAGATTTTCAAAGCTCACATGTTCGTCGTACTTTGCGTGGTTGAGGACCGTGACTGGCTGAAACCTGGGGTCAGCTATGCCGCCTCGGAGCTGTTGAGCTTACACTATCGACTGACGCTCGATCACAAATATGCCCGGCTCATTGTCGGCCCCTCGGCGAGGCCCGCGCCACCCTTCCTCCGCTTGGCGCTCTGATGACCAGGGCCAACTGAGGTGAGCTAAATCGGTCCATCCCGAAGCTCACTGAAGCAGAAGCGAGTGTTGTCGAGCGTTTCAGGCCATAGTACCACCTGGCGTGCGCTACAGCGCATAGTCCATGAAGCTCACGGTCTCGTGCTACAGATTGACAGATGCTCCCCGACCCCCAATCCGAATTTTGCTGTGCTGTCAGCTTCGAGTACAAGATGAAGCTTCACGTACCGACTGATTCAAGCTTTCATTCTCGGGGAGGTTTCGTGACCTGTCGTCAGCTTCACCGGTCAAGCCAAGGCAGCTTACTGTTTCGGCTCGTTGATGTCGGCTCGAAAGCGCCGTCAAATATCTTGCTTTGGTTTTGACTCCGTGCCCCGGAACGCCAGCTCACTGCAAGGTAGCAAAGTGGGCTCATAATATCTTCCCGAAATTATCGGGAAGCATCAGAGTCTGCTGTGTTAGCTTGGCTGCAACCGCGACAGAGGGCTTACCCATCGGAGAGCCGAAAATGCCAGAAATTCTGGGAAATGCCACAGCGTCATCATTGTGGAGCCGGCGGAAGTTGCGACATTCAGACTCAACGTGTTGGACCGTGTCGTCTCTAAGAGGGAGCAATCACTGGCGTAAGCTTAGAGCACAAACCTCATTGAGCTTACTTTTCCAAACCAGTGCAAAGGTTTCGGGAAACGAGGGCCCAAGACTCTGTCGTGTTATGAGTGTGGTGGCGCGGATGGGATGAGTATGTGAGGAAGTGAAAACATAGTTGAGGAAAGTGGTTAGCGATTGAGAGTATAGGACGACGGAAGAGGCAACGCGGTCACCGTAAGGTGACGTGAAACTCTCAGTGTTGGGTAAGTAGACATCACCACGAGTACTCACCGCAATATCTTCAATGCTCGCGGAGATGATGCTCCTGCCACACCTCTCACCATTGTCGGAGCTGTGAGTGAAACGTCGAAGGAGTAGTACAGAATGACAATGACTTGAAAGTAAATCAAAAACGGTAGTGGTGAATGATGTGGAAGGGGGAAGAGGAAATGTGTGGACCAGCTGTCGTAGCCCTCGCCAAACTGTCAGCGGACAGCGGCACTATTCTCCATCCTGTCGGCATATCGGCGTCTCCATTCTCTTCGCACTTGGCGTTCACCGTTCGCTTCCCACACAGATGTCGGTCAGTGCGCTCCTCATAAGGGCGGAACTGTGGTGTTCGGGGGAGGCGGTGCCCAGACTCCGCATGGCACGACTGGCGAGGATTCCCAAGCGCGCGTCTTCGGTGCAACGTGCGAAGTGGAGTGCGAATGTCCTGTCAAGGTCCACGACTCTGTCTCTTCTCTTCTCATATTAAACTGGGGTGCTCATCCGACCGTCCAGCGGTACTTGATGATATGACTGACAGCCAGTGAAGACCAATCAGGCCCATTTATTGCTCAGTTGTTCTGCAGGTCTGCTGCGCCTGGCCGTACGCAGAGAGCACCTGGCAGAGGTGCTGTGAATGAGTGATGTAGGCGAGGGTTATCGCGGCAAGAGTCGTCCTGAAGGTGGCCGGCTTTTGCTGCTCGAAGCTGCCTGTTCAGTTGTCTGGTTAAATGCTGCGCTCGAGAAGCATTGGCCGATCGCAGATGTCAGTTGTAAGCGACTCGTCAGTGATGCATGTCAGATGCCAAGCTGCCCTTGGCGCGTCATCGCTCGGCCGTGGCAGACTTCACAAAGGCTCTGCGGAGACGGAGAACAATGCAAATGACGAAGGGGAGTGCATACAGGTGTGACACCATCATGTCTAAACGGGGCTCACTGCATAGTGCCCGCCGCCCTGGCGAAAGCCACGCGCTGCTTCGTAATCTCGAAAGCCATCTGGAAGCTGTTGCCGAACAGATTCGACTGGCCCAGCTCACTGTCAGCCAGAGCGTGAGGTGTGTCCGTCGTATGCAGAGCAAGGGCGTACTCCAACGGCATGGCCTTCACGAGGTGATACGGCATAATGCCAGGAAGCAAGCAGTACTAGTACTTGTACGCGCTGTTAAGGCCCTTGGGGTGCATATCTGATGGGTAGTCGGCCCAGGTGTACGCTGGCGCATCGTACGCTTGCTTGCACAGTTCCGGCCGGTCCAGGAACGCACCTGCAACGACGAGCAGCAGAGGTGGCCACTCCTTCTGTTTGACCTTGTCTTTGACAGTTTCAAGAGCGAAGCGCATGGCCAAGTCGCACTCGAACTTGTCGAGGAAACGTAACAATGCCAGTACTTGTTCGAACGGCGGGAAGTCTTTGGTCTCGGCCGGGGTGAAAGTTTGCTCGTCGATGAGTTGCTTGAACTGTCGCAGAGTCACAATCTTGTCGTCGAGTTGGGCTTTCAGCTCACCACTGCCGGAGGTGAGGGTGCTTCGAAAGCCAGCTCTGGTTGGTGAGCGGGGTCGTAGATATGGGTATGGCTCACGACCAAGTCATCAACGCATACAGTGGAATCGAGATCTCCACTCCTTCTTCAGACACGAGCGTGAAGGCTTGGCTCAAAAGTTCGGGGACCGTCGTGGGCATGATGTTTGGCAAAACTAGGGCTATTCAGCGAAGATTGGAGCTTCCAATACTGGGAAGCGGACGTTGAAACGCGAGCGGGCCTCACGATGTGTGTTTTAACCCGTGACTGCCCCCTCTTCGAACCGAGCTGTGATCGGCGAGCGGAACATCGCGATGGCCCTACATCTCTCCCTGTGTGCTGACTCGAGAAGCCCTCATAGGCAGCGAGAGCTCCTAGGCACACATTGGGCATGCTCCTATCGGCATACATTAAAGGCGACTATGAGGTCAAAGTCTATCTCCCCAATCGCAATACGTTCGTCGGCCGGCTGATGGTCACTCAGGAGCTGGACTCGTGTCTCGCCTCTCTCGCTTCACCTTCTTACTTGCCGGCTTGGCAGCGGACTTCCTCTCGTCTCCGAGTACTTGAAGCACCTCTTTGAACCTATCCCCGAGGCGGCAGCTGTATCCCTCTGGACCGACCCTAAAGGGGACCCTCGCCAAAGCCAGTGCGAGGATGTAATCAGCGGGGATTGTGTCGCGAATGTAAAGCGGAATGCCCATCGGATGAAGACAGTAAGCCTCCTCGCTTTTCAAGTCTTTAGGATGCCATAAACGTGAATAACCCTGCCAAGAAGAGGCAGGTTGGTTGAGGGCTTCTGGACAGAGTTCAGGTCGCCCCAGAATCAGCCCACTCAGAAAGAACAGCACAGAGGGCCATCCACCATGACCGACGATCTTCTTCCTCAGAGTACCGATGAAGTCTCGAACAACGAACTGGCACTCGTACTTATCAAGAAAGCGGGCGAGGTCAAGGACCTGGTCGAAACACAAGGCTGTCATAGACGAAAAATCGACCTTGAAAGTGCCATCGTTGATAAGCGTCTTGAACTGTCTCAGAGTGATGGCCGATTCGGGCAACTGGACCTTCTTCTCGCCGTCGCCGATCGCAACTAAGTCTCGGAATCCTTTCCTGCCGTCAGGAAAAAAGCTTCGAGTCAAATCGGGGTAGCACGGGCGGTCAAACGCCAGACCCCCGGTAGGAGCAGACGTCAAGGGTCGACCAGATTTCGGATGACGATAAACTTTCACATCGGCTCTTCGCAACCTGCTGAGTTGCAGCATAAACAAAGGGCGCGACCCTCTGTTCATTGGGAAACTGCAAGCAACTTCGGTTGAGCGATGAGCGGATGTTGTTCGTTAAAGTGGCGTTCGACTTTGGTGGTACGACCGCTTCATTCATTACTCACGAACATGTCATCAACTCATACACTGGAAAGGGAAACTCCTCCCCCTCGGCCGATACGAGAGTGAAAGTTTCGCTAAGCAGATCGAGAGCCGGCATCTTCCCATGTGAGATGCGCCGCGTGTGTTGAAGTCAACGATGATATGGGTAGACAGGGGTGTTATCGCTCGTTTTGTACCTTGGAGTATAACCGCACAGCGTAGTGCCATGGAGCGCCCCCTCCGCGTCAGTGTCATCAGTGAGGGTGAGTTGACCACTGCGCCCTGTCCGCTGCTGACGTCCCATCCGCAGATCCAGCAATCTGCATACCTACGCCTTACTCCTTTTCCCTTCAGCCGCCTTCTTCAGCTTTCCAATCTTACTAAGCTGCTCCGCGAACTCTCGTCCGTTGCGTGCCCTATCTTTGTCATATCCGGGCTTGATATTCTCCTTGACGGGCGTGAGGGCGAGCGCGAGGGTGTATTCGTACGGCAGCTGCTCGAGGAGCTGGAACGGGATACCGAGCGGGTGCAGCGTGTTGCGGTACTTGTCGCCAATGCCGGGCGGATGCGTCCAGGGCTTGTAGTGTGCCCAGCTGCCCTTGGGCAGATCGAGGGCCGCCTCGCAGACCTCGGGCTGGGCGAGTCTCGCGCCAACGGCGAAGAGCACGAGGGGCGGGAGCTCAGCCTGTGACGTACTGGTGCCTCCTGAGGCGGTTGCGGTCGTGGAAGGGCCGGAAGCGCCCCGCGTGAGGATCTCGACGAGATCCTTGAGCGCCCGGGGGCAGTCGTACTTGTCCAGAAAGGCCGTGAGGGCGAACACCTGCTCGAAGAAGGGAGTCGGGCTGAACTCACGCCAGGTGACGCGCTTGCCGTACACGAGCTCCTTGAATTGCTCGATCGTCTCGGCGCGCTCCTCGAGCTCGACGCGCTTCTCGCCTCGACCGGTCTGGAGCAGGTCCCGGAAGAACTTCCTGAGGGGTCAGATCCCCTCCACTTGCCCAGCATCTGCGAAGGATGAATGGGCCGTACTCACGACCAGGACATGAGGTCATAGATCGGCATACTGATCAGCTCGCCCTCGCACGACACGAGCGTGAAGTGCTGGCTGAAGACGGAGGGCGGCTCGGAGATCTTGAGCGTCGAAAAGGACGAATGACGCTGGCTGAAGAGACCCATTGCTTCCTCAAACTCGTCCTTGAAGCAGGTTCGCGGCATGGTCGTCGATGACTTGAAAGACGGTGTCGTATGCCAGATGCCTATATGGGTAGCGACGGTGCTGTGCATGTCCGAGTGCGTGAGGTGGTGGTGGGCTGCCCATGACGAGGTGGGCTGAACGCGAGTGTTGATGTCGGTGGATCAGTGGGCGGAATGCACCCGCTGCGCGCTGATCACACCTCCCCAGGTTGGGGGTGTGACTCTTCTAGACTGTGCAGAACAGCACTACTCGTCGATGGCGTCCGTCTCCTTCAGCGCCTTGAGAAAGTTCCACCCTGCCATCTGAAGCAGTGTTCTCCGGTACGACCTCTTCGTCATTGGTCTTGCATCGTCCTCGTCATCGACATCCGGATCCCAATCTACCGTGATCTCCGGCACGTCCGCGAGCGCCAGCGCCCAGAGGTATGCCTTGGGCAGTCCCATGCCCGCCTTCTTCGGGAAGCAGTGAGGGCTGACTGTGCACTCGTGATAGAGGTGATCGGGGCGGGGTTTCGGGCACTTGCCCCCGGGACCGGACTGTTGTATGGCACGGCAGCAGAAGCTGGCATTGCGCAGCCCAGCGCCGAGCTGGAACAGCTGGTACGGTGCCAGCTCGCAGTTGTCGATGACGGCGCGCACCTTGTCAATGTACAGCTTGTACGCGAGGGGACAGTTGTACTTGTTCATGAAGAGGCCGAGGTCGAGCAGCGTCTCGGCGTCGGGCACGTCGAACAGCTCCACCCGCGTTATGAACCAGAGAAAGTAGTGCAGCGTCACACTGCTGTCGTCGAGCTGCACCTCCATCTTGCCCGTGCCGGTTTCTAAAGTGTCGCGGAACGTCTCGCTGGGAATTAGGTAAACGAGCAGCGGCTAACTCACGACCATGTCTGAAGCAGATACATCGGCACCATGAATACCCAGTGATCGTTCGAGACCAACTTGAAGTCGCCGCTTGTCCATTCGGGATGGATCTGGCACGGCGTGACGGGGATCGAGCCTAGCGTTGACGACGACACAAACGTGTTCAGCGGCGGGCGTATTAGCCTCGGCGACACCGGCTGCGACATGACAGTCACGAGTGGTAGAACGTGTGAGTAAAGACCGTGGAGCAGGTGAACGCCAGGAATGTGCGAGGAAGACATGAATCGCAACTCGACCGAGCGTCATCGTTGTTGACGCGATTGATCCCGCAGATCCATTGTCCGGTCATGTCCGAGCCGTCATTCCGGTTACTAACAACGCCGTCTGATGACAGCTGCCAACGCCAGATACGCGCATGCTGATAAGCAGAAGCAGGAGGGGAGAGACAGAGACAGTGCATCATGTTGGTGGGAATAGGCATCAGCAACCTACCGGCTCTGACGACTGCGAGGCCGCGAGAGCTGCACGGCCATCGACCCCTCGAGCCCTGAAAAGACCATATCGGACAAGCAGTCAAAATCAGGAAGAGCTGCATGCATACACACCCAAGATCGATTCGTAACTACTACAACTCTGCACTACAACGTTAAGCATCTGGTGCCCAGGATTACCTACGCCTTTTGGGCCTGCTTATCGGCGTCCTCGACCGGCTTCTTCGGCCTGTCGTACGGGAGCGCCCCGTCCCACGGCTTGGACACGTACCACGAGTGGTCGCAGTCGTCCTCGAGCTCGACGAGCGAGAACCCGTTACCGAGATACGCGAAAGGGTTGTCGCCGATATACTCGATCTCCATGTCCTCAAAGCGCGGCTCGCGGATCATCTCGAAGAAGTGCAGCTTACTTCCGGGATGGATGGCCATGACGGGCCCATTCGCCTTTCCGTTCTTGTACCAGGACGAGCAGGAGCTGCTCCACAACGTAGTGGGCATGAGCGCGTTGCGGTGGATGTTGAACTTGCGCGTAATGTCTGCCTTGGGGGCGATGCTCGCCACGCCCTCGGCCTGCATCTTGGAGATCGCCTTCAGCATCCAGATACTGCAGCGCTCGATTGTCTGCGTGAGCGAGCCGTGCGCGACGGGCGCCGAGGGCCCGAGGAACGTGAAGTAGTTCGGGAAGTCGGGCACCATGAGCGACATGTAGCCCTCGACGAAGCCCTCGCTCCAGCGCTTGCGGAGGTCGGCACCCTCGCGCCCAAAGAAGGGGAAGCGGGGCAGGAGGGAGACGTCAAAGCCGGTCGCGCACACGATGGCGTCCACGTCGACGTGCGTGCCGTCGCGGGTCTCGAGACCCTTCTCCGTGATCCGTGCAATCGGGTTCGAGACGACGGTCACATTGTCCTCGCACAGAGACTCGAGGAAGCCGTTCCCAGGCGTGAGACGGCGGCACCCCAGGGCAAACTTTGGCGTGAGGAGGGCAGCGAGCTCGGGCTTCTTCGCCAGACGCTCGGTCATGCGCTGCTCGGCAAACGCGCGCACTTGCTTCTGCAGCTCCTCCTCCTTCAGGTACATCCTGTAGCGGGCGTTGACCTCCTGTTCGACCTCCTTGCGGTACTTGAGGAACTCCTCCGGGTCGGCCGCCCACAGTGCCTTCTCCGCGTCCGTGTAATCCTTGTTGGCGCCGTTCGGACCGGCATATTTGGCCGCGGCGCCGCCGTCCGTGATCCAAGCTCCGGAACGGATGAAGCACGTCATGTGCTCGACACGCTTCTGCAGCTGGGGAATGACCTGCACCGCAGAGGAACCGACGCCGATCACGGCGATCTTCTTCCCCGCAAAGTCGTAGCTGTCATCCCACTGCGCCGTGTGCATCAGCTTGCCCTTGAAGGACTCGATGCCGTCGATGTCGGGCCATTTCCAGTTGCTAGCAACACGTTAGCGGAGCGAGCGGCACGAGCGGAGCGAGTGTGAGGAGTTTAGCGGTGGCCGCGAATGCCTCGAGGAAAGGCCATTGTGGACTCTCCCACACTCCGACTTACTTGAGAATACCGCTCCCGTTGACGAGGAACTCGGCCCTGTCCTCAAACTCGCCGTTGGGTCCTTTGACTTTGACGACCCACTCCTGCGCCTTGTCGTCCCAGTGTGCGCCGACGACCTCGTGGCTGACCTTGAACATGTCGCGGAGCCCGTGATCGTCCACGATCGAGTTCATGTAGGCGCAAATCTCGGGCGAGCCAGAGTAGAACCGCGACCAGCCCGAGTACGGCTGGTAGCTGAACTGGTACGCGTGAGAGGGAACGTCGCATGCGCACCCGGGGTACCTGGGCGTAGTTAGCCTGTGCTCGTCCCGCCTGCTCCAGTTGCGCCAGTCGACTTGGACTGTGTCAGAGGAAAAGCGACGCCTTCACCGACATCTATCGGGGCTCCAACAGGTGCCCGCGCCTTAGTCTGACACCTAAGCCGCGGCAAAGGGAACCCACCTGTTGTCAAACCACGTCCCGCCGAGCTCGGGGGACTTCTCATACGCAACCATGTCGACGTTCTCGGCGTGTTTCTTGATCTGGTACGCCATCGTGATGGCGCTGGCGCCGCCTCCGATCGTGATCACGCGGACTTTGCGGCGCGTGCCGAGCGGGAAGGAGGGGATTTCGTACCCGATCGCTTCGGGGTCGCCATCGGGTCCTTCGAGGGCGGAGCGGGCCTCGCTCTGGGTCTCGTCACGGGTCATGCTGTCGTCTTTCGGTTCGTCGGGTTCGCGAACTGGGTGCTGGGGGTGCAAGTAGAAGAGTAAAGTGCAGGTGCAGGCCAGTGGAGAGGAGAAGGCATGCACCCAGGTGGGCCTAAGACTGATATAAGTGGCCCCACCGCCGTCGCTCTTCGCCGAGGAATCCAGGCAAGGAGTGATAGCCGGCTACTACCTCGCTTTGAATCCCGAATCCCAGCCCTCATGTCCCGTGACATACCCTCTGCGCACAGACACAGTGGACATCTCCGCAATCTCACGGAGTGTAGATCCAGCGGAGCTAGGTTTTAAGTGGGGAAGCGGGGCCCGGCACAAGTGATCATGACGAGGAGATGATTTGTATCACTGCATGTGCGACCAGCACTATGGGCGCCGAAAGCAAAAGGCATCTCCACAACGGCCGTAAGAGGGTTTAGGTATGGTCGAGTGGCGACGGACATCTCCGACGCCGACGAGAGGTCCAAGCTTCTCCATTGCTGCACGGCTCCGAATGCACCAGACGTTCAACAGACAGTTTTACACAAACGTCAAGACACAAGCGGCGCACGGTGCATTTCTTATCCGGTTGTGACGAGCGTGATCGACCAGCCGGAGGTACTCAGTAGACCGAGCCAAGCCGGACTGATGCTCGAGGCGGACGGAGCATTGAGTATTCCAGCCCTTCTTCGTGACTGGGAACGAGTGTCCAAGACCGCATGCAGATGGGATCGATCCCTCACACCGTACACACTTCGCTTGGAAGCGTCCCTTCTTCTAGGCCTTCCCGAGTACGCACTCGTTATGTTCCCAAGGACAAAATCGGTGGGAATCTTACATCAGCCTCCTCCCAAAGATCCGAAACCTCTCTCTACCTCGCAGAGTGAGAGGCCAGAATCCAGCGACGTACATCGGGTTTGTACGTTATGTCCGATACGCACCTAGATCCTCTCCAAGTTCATCTGTGTCCCCCGATTTCGTCATTACGAGAGACCATCGAAGACGCTGTTCCACGGCAAAACGTTCCTGACCCGCCTCCAACTTCACAAACCACGCAGAAAGTCGCTGCATAAGCCCTGGCATCCACGAGTTCGGACTCAAAAGGGCTGTGGACGATGGAGACTGAGGACTATGGGTCGAGGACTATGGACTGAGGACTATGGGCTGTGGACATAGAGACATAGAGCTGAGTTGCTGGCCGTTGACCGTGCACGCGTGTATCGTAGAGGGACGCCGGCCAGGCGGCCTCCTGGAACAAATAGAACATCTGCACCACGCGATATTCACCAGGCACTCTTTCTTCCCTTGAAGCTCGGCTAGGATTGCGAGGAACACTGCCAGTTCCCAGCCCGTGCCTGTCCCTACTTCTTCTTCCTTTCCCCCGCCACAGCTGCCAAGAAACCACAGGACGTAGCATGAAGCCAACGTCGCTAGAGCCTCACCAGCCTGACATTGTGCGTTGCGATCTCGCTTGCCTCGCCCTTCGGTGTGTGCATGGCTGATTGCGCTCTGTCTGCTCAGCGGCGCAGTTAGGCTTTATGCTTCCAGGTCATGAGGCTCGGGCCTGTTCGCGTGGGAGTCATGCTTGCGCATCGTGTCATCGTCGTGTTTGTCCTGGCTCCACACCGATTGAAATGTTCTGTGCATATTCTGTTGCATGGCTTTGTGGACGTGACCTCGTTCGCGCTCGGGGTACAAGTACATTTCTCCGCCTGTTGGCCAGCCATAATTCAAGACGGGGCAGTATGGATAACTATAATGCTCATCATGGGGGAGAAGGTGGGGGAGGGAGAGGAAACGAGTGAGGAGTGAGGAGATGGGGTTGCGTGGCGGTCATTTCAGGTGTTCTCTCTAGAGGGTTGGGGGGTTTTGACGCCGTGTTGAGACGTTGCGACGTTGCAGGTCGTGCTCGTTCAGTCAGACTCACTCGAGACTTCGATGCTGGGAACAGATCGGGTCCGGGGAGGCAGAAGGGCGGGGAGACTCGTCTTGCGACGAGGAGAGTGGGGTCGGAGGCTCAGAGTGCGCGCATGGAGGCGCATCCCCGACAGGCTGAGGCTTGACTTGTGCAGCCGACGGACGCGCAGCGAGGTGCACTTGTCGGTCGACAGGTCCAGGACGAGCGAGGTGCTCTCCTAGATATCAAGCTCCTCGCGCGCGTTGGCACGCGAAGAGTCCTGCTCGTCCTCCTCACTGAGGCGACGGCTGAGCGTGTCGCGCGGAAGAGCCAGAGAGCCGGGGACACCACGGAGCGAGCTGGCGACGCGCGGGAAGGTACCAGACGAGAAACCGCGCGACTCGCCGACGGGCCCACGAGGGTTGCGCAGAGGCTGCGAACCCGAATCTCCGTGCAGATCGCTCAGCGACGCAGGAAGAGGAGGAACGGGAGGGGCGCCGACGGGCGCGCCGAAGAAGCTGTTGAAGGTGCCTGATCCAAGAAGGCGGCGGCCATGCGACGCTCCCATGGACGAGTAGTCGCGACCACCAACGACGCCAGCGACAGCAGTCTCACGGAGGTTACCAGAAGAGCGCTGCGGGGTCAGGCTGCGAGCAGGGTCGCGGGCAACAACAGGGCCATTGAAGCCGCGCAGGTCCGGCATCGACTTCTTAATGCGCAGGCCGTGACCGTTTCCTTCGGGGTAAGGCTGGAGGTAGCTCGTGTGCGTAGTCGACTGGGTCGACTTGGGCGTGTCCTTAGTGACCACGACATGCTTGGCATCGCCGTCACCCTTAGTGACACTGGTCAAGGACAGCTTCTGCGCAACGAGGTGCACGATACGGCGCTCAGTCGGCGAGAGGTTCCTGGAAAGAACCAACTCATCGCGCATGCGATCCTCCTTGAACATGTAGACCATGTTGTAGATAGACAGCGTGGCCGGATCGTTGAGGTCCAGCGACACCGGGAGGGTGTCAGACTTGTTGGAGCCGGACGACTGAGTCGGGCTGCGGTCATCGTTGGACGAGTCGCCGTAAGACACCTGTTGGTGGTGGCCGTTGCGCTGCATGTTGTTGTGCGAGTTGCCGTGCGAGTTGTTGTGCGCATTGTTGTGAGCGTGCGAGGGCTCGATGGGCGTCTTGACCGAGTCGAGCTGCATGCTCTTCATGCGCTTGATAGCCTTCTCACGTTCGATGCGATCCTTCTCCCCAGGCTGAAGGACCTTCTTGTACTCGACGCGGAGCTTGCGACCTTGCACATCGTAACCGTTCAGAGCCGCGACGACGCTGGCAGCCTCCTCGGGAGCACGGAAGTTGGCAAAGGCAAGGCCGCGGAAGACGCCGTTGTCGTGGTGGTAGTTGAACGCATAGGGCAGGGGAGCGCCGAGTGACTCAATGATGGCCAGCAGCGTCTCACGCGATACGGCAAACGGAATGTTCTTGATGACGATCGCCGTCGGGATGACATCGTCATCAGGGGTGGGGATCATTCCACGCCACTGAGTCGGACGCTGCGGCATCGATGTGACATGCTGCGACGCAAAGGGAGCAAAGGCAGCCGATCCCGGAGCCATTCCGTAGGGAACGGAGGGGGGAGGCGAGGGCGCCAGGCCCATCGAAGGGAACGGGTCGATGCTGAAAGCGGGATAGTACGGCTGCGCCGGAGTCGCACCAGAGCTGGCCGTAGACGGAGCCGAGATGGTGGGCGACGCTCCATCGCCGCGACGGAACACGTCGTAATGGTGGCCACCGCCGCCATTCTCCGTCACCTGAGGATCAAACCAAGCCTGTAGAACGTTAACGTGGTTCCGGGGTACAGTTTGCGGGAGTAAGAGTGCTCAGGCCAAGACGGGCCCTAAACAGATTGACTTGCCGCCATGATGTTAAACTTACGGAAGGAATTCCGGAGCGCGAGCCGCGCTGCTTGGGACTGCTAGTCCAGCCGCGAGTGGGGGCACCGGAAGGCGTAGCGACGGGAGGGCCGAACACGTTGTTGTAGGGGTACTCTCCGTAAGGCGAGGGGTTGATGGACAGCGACTGCAGGTTGGGCAGAGGCGGGGAAGAGTGTTGATGACTCATGATGCCAGTCTGATCCGAGGAAGCCACAGAAAACAAACGGACTTAAGCACAGGAGACGTCGGGGTTGGTGTGTAAACCAGTTAATTCGTGATTGTCGTCGAAGGGAAACAGGCGTGTGTGTAAACAGAGCCTGGAAGGTACCCGTGAAACAACACAAGTCTGTTGGAAGGGGGTGGCGTTGGGATATGAATAGATCACAAAGCGACCAGAAAGAGACGTCACGAACGAACGACTGCTAGTCCGAAGCGCGGTGACAGGCAGAGTTGAATGGAAAACTGTCACTGAGACTCGGTCGTCACGTTGGTCAACTGTTGACGTGTTAGGGGGTTGAAAAGGACGGGAAACAGGAAACGAGAACTAGGTTTGCGGAGAGGACCGAGACCGTTAGCGTCGGAATCGGGGATACAATGCTGTCTGCTTGAGGAGGAGATCGACACAGAGTGGCTCTGAGTGCGAATGCGAGAGGTGGATGCGGGTGAAAGGTTGGTGGGATGGTTGTTATGAAGGGGGGTGGATTGTTGTGGGTGAATGCAGGGCGGATGATTTGTTGTGGGTGGTGCAAGAGGGTAGTGCAGATCGTGGAGTCGTTAAAACAAGACGTCGTCGAGGGTCGTCGTGATGTCAAGGGGAGGTCGGAACAGGAGGAGACGGGAGAGAGGAGGGGGAGGGAGAGAGGTGGGAGTGAAGTGTGAACAGGCGTTGAGGAAGAGGAAATAGAGAAAGAAGGAAAAGATGACAGAGAGGGTGCGGAGGGCGGAGGGCACAGGCTGGGGCTGACTGGCTGACTGGCTGCCTGGGCATGCCTGACTCCTAATGGCGTTCGTTGCCTGCGGTGGAGGTGCGGTGACCTCGCTGCGTTCGTAGGCTGGAACGTACACCCTATGCATATACCATGCGCACTCCCTACTTTGCATACTGTGCACGGGCTGTGTGCGTGTGTGTTGGTTGCCCCTGTGCGGTACGGCTAGCGTGGACATGATGCATGGAGTTACTTATTGAGAGAGGGGGAAGGAAACTTGATGTATGGCTGGGCGTGTTGGGCGTGGCCCTGTTGGAGCTTGGGTGTCATGAGCGCGGGTCCTTCTGTGCACTCTGGGTTGGCTGACAGTCGCTCAACCCTCAGCCTGTCATCTGTTCGTCTGCTTGTCTCTGCGCTGGATCGTGGTCGCTGTCTGTGCACTGCCAACCAAAAGAGCAAGGGAACCCTCATCCTCAACAGCTTGTCCTGGGAATGCTCTGCCCTCGCTCCTGCCGCGCGTGGTCGACCACGACCACAATCCCTGTGGCTTCATGGGTTTCCTCGACCCGACTCCTATGACTCCTTGACCAGCACGCGTCCCGCCTGAGGATGTGAGGACAGGAATTCAGTATTGCTGTATTAGCCTCCGCTAATGGCCGTCGTCCAAGCTCCTCAGTCTTGATTACAATCCCAGAACCCAAGGTTTATAATTGCAAAAACTTTATTGTCCAGGCTCCTTGCTCGCGCTGCTCGCGACGACGACTTTTGCGCTGATCGTCGCCCATTGATTGGCAACCGTGCGACCATGCTTGCGGCGGAGGCAATTAACTCTAAATGCAGCCCATAGGGGAATCACGTGATGCACTCGCCCCCCTCCTCATTATGTAAGAGCCTTAAAAGCCACGCGTTCGCCAGATCCAAGAACAATGTCAAAGGCTTGGCGGTGGGCCGCCGGCTTGGTGGGGACTCAGGCCAGTGGGAGACGACCCCTCAAGCTGACACAGCCTGGCATTCCACGTTAAGTGTGAGGCTGGCATTGCAAATGCGATACAAGCTGTGCGATGGACCGTCTTATCACTGGCTCTGATTGGCCCGCCGGTCGCCGATGTCCACACTAAGGCGATCTCCTCTGCGACATGCTGCGTCATTCCTGGGCGTACGCTGGTATGGTGGTTACGGCGGTCCATGCACTGGCTGGCTGAACAACACTCCTGGCATTAATGCATCATCCTCCTCGACTTGTTTCACTCTTCCTTTCTCATCCTCAAATCCACCCCATCCACATCTTTTTTGCCACTCTAACATGGGTCTCGCATCAAAGCTAGCTGCTGCCAACGCCGCAGGCGGCGCTCCCGGAGGAGCCCCCGGAGGTTACGGTGCTCCCCCCGGCGGCCAGTACGGCGCTCCCGCCGGTGCTCCTCCTCCTCCTGGCGGCGCCGGTCAGTACGGCGCCCCTCCTCCTCCCGGAGGACAGTACGGTGCTCCCCCCGGCGCCCCTCCTGTTCCTGGTCAGAGGTGAGTGTGTGTGACGGCAAGTACACGATGGATGGCAGAGCGGGAATCCCGGCGCAGTGACTGTTCGGTGTGGATGGTGTCCATGGTCTGCTGCGCCATGGCGATCTGCGCCGTAGCGAGGAACGGATCCTCGTGCACCTCGCACTGAGCTTTTTCCTTGTCGCCACTGCATTCTGCAACATCATCACTCGTCGACAAGCTTCGATCTACCTGCAAGTCTTCTCGTCATATCGACGACCCTCGCCATCCACTCCGTGCTTCCGCCATTGGTTTCCGAAAGGGCGATCCGCTGATGTACTACCACAGGCCCGGACAGCAGGGTGGCCAGTATGGCCAGCAGCCCGGTCAGCAGCAGTACGGCGCTCCTGGCCAGCAGCAGGGCCAGTACGGCCAGCCTGGACAGCAGCACGGACAGCAGGGCCAGTACGGACAGCCTCCCGCATACGGCCAGCAACCTGGCCAGCAGGGCCAGTACGGACAACAGGGACAGCAGGGACAGTACGGCCAGCAGCCTGGTCAGCAGGGACAGTACGGGCAGCCCGGCCAGCAGGGACAGTATGGCCAGCCTGGTCAGCAGCCCGGACAGTACGGACAGCCCGGCCAGCAGCCTGGTCAGTACGGCCAGCCCGGTCAGCAGCCCTACGGTGCCCCTGGCCAGCAGCCCGGTCAGTACGGTCAGCAGCAGGGCCAGTACGGCCAGCCTGGCCAGCAGCCTGGCGGCTTCGGCGCCGCCGGTGGTGCTCCCGCTCCCGGTGGTGGCCCCAGCGCCCAGGTTCTTCTCCAGCAGCTCCAGACCTGTGTCCAGGACGTGAGTATCGCCGCTAGACTTTTCGATTGATGCTAACATCCGTGCAGCAGAAAATCCAGGCCTTTTACCCGCCCGGCTCGCTCGAGCAGGTCGCCCAGCGTGTCGCGGCTTCTGGCGCTCTCCCCAAGATCGCTCAGGAGTGGCGCATGCCCCTCGAGCTTGCCACTGAGCTTGTGAGTGACTAGCACGATCGTGCAGAGGTTTACAGCGCTGGTGCTAACCGTCTACAGGTCAAGCTTGCGCTTTTCGATGTCATCCTCTACGTCGATGACTCCGGCTCGATGCAATTCGAGGAGAACGGCGAGCGCATTGACGACCTGAAGCTGTGAGTTGTCGACCTCCGCGTACCAACTGACAGGCAGCATCCTCAGCCGTGTCGCATACGCGACTTCGCTCTTCGACCACGACGGTATCCAGGTCCGCTTCATGAACTCGAACGTTCAGGGCAACAACATCACGAACGAGCAGCAGGCCATGCAGCTCCTGCAGCAGGTCAAGTTCTCTGGTCTCACCCCTCTCGGCACCAACCTCATGAACAAGGTCATCCAGCCCCTCGTGCTCAACCCCGCCCGCTCCGGCCAGCTCCAGAAGCCCGTCGTCGTCATCACCATCACCGACGGAACCCCCGCCGGCGAGAACAAGGACGAGATCTTCAACGTTATCCTCCGCACTGACCACGAGCTGCGCAACTCGAGATACGGTAGCGACGCCATCTCGTACCGTAAGCCACCCCGCAGCGCGCAGTTCGAGCCAGTGGCGTAGCCCAATGGCTTGGTAGAATTGCGCTGCCTCGTGTTCGTCAAGAGCTCACCGCTGACACTTCCCAGAGTTCGCCCAGGTCGGCAACGACCAGAAGGCGCAGGCCTTCCTCGAGACGCTCGACAACCATCCGCAGGTCGGCAACCTCGTCGACTGCACCTCCAACTACGAGGCGGAGCAGGCCGAGATGATGCGCAAGTCGCGCATCGACCTGACCCCCGAGCTCTGGCTGCTCAAGCTTCTCATGGGCCCCATCGACTCGTCCTACGACACCAAGGACGAGTAAGCGTGCCCTGTTTGTGAGCGCAGTACGTGCGCTCCGGCGTGAGTTGTCTCCTGTCTCCCCCGTCTGCAGTGAAAAGAGTTTTACAGTCAGTAGTTTATATATTCCGACGCCCAAAGCGCCGGTGTAGGTTAGTGCGGCTATGCAAAAGAATCAGACGTGCATGCGAGCGCAGCGAGCAAAGTGAGCACCAACTTCCCGGCAAAACACTACCTTCCTCGGAAGTCCTACTCAAGATTAGAGACACTGGAGGCCCAGTGAGCGTGTAAATAGTTGGCGGTCCCGCTCCGGCCATGATGAGTTCAGGTCGGTCAGCGCAGGTCAGTTTGAGAGTGTCCTCGCCAGCGTCGACTGTGACCGCCCAGCCACCAACTACCAAGGGAGCCTTCATCAGGCTTCTGGAGTCAGCGCAGCTCGCCACACCAAATATTGACCACTCTCACAATCCGCAGAAATACCATCCTCCAAAGTCTCCGCCTCCTTCCTATCCCCCAATCTCAAGGGATGGTTCTACAGTCTCGAATGGCCAAAGACGATTGACTGACAGTGAGCACGTTGTACGGGGCAGCGGGCATGTGTGAAACCCGCCACCAAGCCCTCAGGTAGCCGTATCTCGGTCCCGTTGAACAGGAGCCGAACAGCGGCAGGGTGTGCAGGGTAGGGCAAGCGAGAGTCACCGAGCCCCGCGAGCCCCGCGATACCCGCGATACTCGGAACGGGGACAAGCAAGCCAGTTTCGGCCGACAGTTGTCGGCGAGGTCACGGCGTCCCCGTCCTCTCCTTTGTCTCCTTCGTCTCCTTCGTCCTCGGTCGCGCCTGCGACGTTCGAGTGGAGAGTAGAGTTCACGCAGGACAGGACAGAAGGCGCATACATCCGCTGGCGAGCCCGACGAACCTGTGGTCGTTTAAGCAGCGAAGCGAAGCAGTGATCGTCTGCTGGTGCCCAGGTCCGTCGGACTTTTGATCAGACCGGAAGCGATCGAGGATACCGAGCCCCGCACTGGTTGTGTGGGGCACAGTCAGAAACGACGCACGTTTTGGCTCGTTTCGATTAAACCGCACAAATACACGACACAGTCGCGCCGCGTTGAGTTTCCGTCGGGGCCTTCCCTTCAGGCTCTTCAATTCTCGATTATGGTCGACGCCCCTCCACCAGCGTGCCCAGCGTATATCGCGAGTCCACGCCGTTGGAGAGATCTTAGCGAGGTCATCGAGTTTCCTAGACGCTGAGATAACACGGTAACAGGGGTTGACTCCCAGCCCTGGGGCGTAAGCGAGACACTTGTCGCCGATACTGAACCGCATGGTCTTGAAGATTTTAGATTACCGAGGTCAACAGCAGCCTGAGCTGCAAGGCCATAGAGATGGGGGTGGAGTTGAGTGAGTCCGCCCTGTTCGGCAGTCAAACTCAGCGACGGAGGAAGCGCGGCGATAAACGATGATCGGCGGGGTATCCCACTACCGCTTGCTGTGCTGGGTCCTCCAGACTGCCCTTCCAGTTCTTCGCCGTCGTGCTAGCCACCCAGGCCTTTATACACGGTAAGCAAAAGGGTCGCCGAACCCTCCCTGTCGTTAATTAACTATCCATCAACTCGGTGTTGCCCTCAGCGAGCAGAGTGGAAGCGACAACGTTTTGACGACGGGAACAGTACAGCAGGCGACGGGCACAGAGTGGAGATAGCGCGTACCAGCGTTCCCAGCAAGATATCGGTGTCTCTTGCGATAGTTCCTCATCCCGTGACCACGCAGGCAACCTCAACGAGCGAGTGAGGGAAGTGCGGCTCCGCGTCGCTTCTGAGCTCAGCAAGCTCGCCGAGCTACCCTTGACGCTGGCCCTTGCCTAGTTGCGTTAAGCATGTTGCGCTGTCTGCCTTGCGTCTTGCGTGCTATGGCGGGTGGTGATCGGAAAGACCGCACACGAGCAGCACGGGACCAGCACGAGACCTCGACGTCAGACGACGTCAGTACGTCAGTACGCTCAGTCAAACGTCACTTATCACCTTTCAGAGTTTGGATACTCGGCGATTGTGGGTGACCACGCGACAATCAAACCGACACCGAAGAGTGATGAAAGAGCAATTGCATCCCGGCGTCTGCCGTCGATCACGGCGTGACACCGGTCGCTGCTGGGTTCGGTGGAGCATCATTTCAACGAACAGCACGTCCGGCGACGGAAACCAGGAGCCACATGCCCCCCACCCGTGCCGTCCACGCCGTCTTGCAGGTGATCACATGAGACGTGCTCGATGCCGTTGTGCGTATTCATAGACTCAGCCGAGGCTGCAAGCCGAAGATTATTCTTGAACTGCACAGCCAACTGGTCAGCTGGCGAGGTTGGCGAGCTGGATGGGCGCTGACGAGTCGAGTTGCGGACCGAGGTCCCGGCGCAGTCATTCGCGGTCCGGTCAGACCGAGATTGTGGGACACTCCGATGTCGGCGAAGAGGAGGGTAGTCAGAGGTACAGAGGCACGATTGGGGAGGGGAAGAAGAGCCTCAGCCGCGGAAGAGATGTGTCAGTCTGCCTGCGGCCTGCGAAGATATTCTCCACGCAGTCCAGACCGCAGTGATCGCAGTTTCGAGGTCATGGCGCAGATCATCACATCTTGTCTGGGACTTGTGCTGCGATACAACAACCTGGGATTTTTCTCAGTCTCGCAATCTCGCAATCTCGCAATCTCGCTGTTTCTGAGGCCGCTTCTGCATCCTTCGAATGCTGCGGACACATGTCCGAGGAACGATTCAGAAAGCACCGCGGAGACGGGGGGACATAGAGGGGGTGTTGACGAATGCTGGAATCACACGAGGCACTTTGAAAGGGGGCACGTGAGACTTTGTTTCTACGCACTAGAAGAACTCGGTTTGGCGGACGTCGGACGCGAGTTGTACGCGATACCTGTGTTCGCGACGTCTGTCAATCGAAGGAACTTGTACGTTACCAGAGGAACAGAGGCACGCAGGAACTGGGGTCTTGTCTAGGGTCAAATCTCTGCGGTTGTGCGGGGCACGTCTCCCGCCGCCTTCGTATCGATGCCCTCAGGATCGACGGTGGAGCCGTGCGGGGTACGTGCAGTTGTCGTTCTAGACAATGGCTGCTACGTCAGAGCTGTAGAGCGGTAATGGCCCGCTCGTCAATAGGCGGCGTATCATTGGCGCAAAGGTGGAGAATAGGGCACCCCGAAAGTCGGATGCGAGGAGCGATAGACGATACCCGCCGCTGGAACAGGATGTTAATTAAGCATGCTTCTTGTCGATATGCGTCGTCCGTGTCTGGACTGTCCAGGTCATGGACGCGCACGCGACGCGACGCAGCCGTTTCTCATACTCACTGCTGTCGCATGTTAACTCGTTTGCAGATAGGAGGGTGTTCGCTTGCCCATGCGCGATGGTTGGGAACAGGAACCGCTTGCAGAGCCACCCTCGGTTCGGTTTTGTCTCGGTGCAGGCCTCGGAGAGGTCGCGCTCACACCTGACCGCTCGTGAGGTACCCCGCCTAGTCCCGTGCACCGCTGTGCCGCTCGCTGCTGCACTGCAGCGGTGTCGTACGCCGCACCCCGTCCCGCCACTGACACTATGAATGGCGAGCGCTTGAGACAACAAATCGCTGATCTCGAGACGATCATGGACCCCCGTTTCGAAGACCCTCTGCAAGGCCAGATCCGGTCCGCACCCCCGGTCCTCTCCATGAGACCCGGTTCCCACTGTCTGCTCCGCACCAACCCCGTTCCGAGATATCACCGAAGCTCGTGTGTCATGTCCTGGAATCGCGCTCGATGGTGTGCGAAGCGAATGTACTCATGTTCGCGCGTTCTCGCACATGAGAGACGCAGGGAAACGCCGGCATGTCGGCATTCGGCGGCTACTTGCTCTTGCGACAGGGCCCATTCAACGGGCCCGGATCTAGCGGATCTTGCTCATCTCTCTGCATGTTCCTAGCAGATCAAGGTCTGTGGACCTTTGGAGAGTTCCAGAATACCGCAAAGACATGGCTGACGCAGGTGGGCGTAGCATGAGGTGCGATGGGCCGCGACTGGCCCAGAGCATGCAGAACGGCATACTGGACACCGTGCCAAGGAACAATCAAGGATCGAGTGAGGCTGGTATACGACTGATGTGCGAGAACAAGGGGCAGCCGGGACCTGACCCCGACGCTGGAATCAGGCAGACATCCCTGCACCCGTCATGACTCTCCCTTGTGTCCTTGCCGTGTTTACCGTTGATTGAGCAGGAGTATGCACTCATTCGTGGATCTCGCAGAATGAGGATGAGCCGTACATAGGCACTGCGTACTCCTGATCTCATATGCTTGCTCGGCAGATACGGTAGAACATGCAGAGGACCGTGCCAACAGCCCCCTGTCCTTCAGTTTCTCCAACTTTGCGACCTGGCCTCCTTGGTTTCCTACGAGTCTCGCACCATTCCTATCGGACGTGCACGGCATGAATGTCACCGTTTGAGCTCGCCAGACCCGCCGGCCCGACATCGTCAGCAGCGCTGACATCCTCTTCGCTCCGCACCAGTGACTTGGCACTGGGCGCAGCGGCGACTTGCTTATGCATAGCGATCCATGCCGAACCCGGCGCGCGAGCTTCCTCCGAGCGGCGCATACCGACGCCCTAGGGAGCGGAGTACTTCTGCGCCGCAACGGGACCCCCGCCATCCACGTCGCTCACGCCAGGCGCGCCAGGCGCGCCGGACACGCCGCGCGCCGCTCGGCGCCAAGTCTTCATACATTCCAGCCAAGCATCAGTATGCCCGGTATGCCGGGCTGTGCTGAGTGCGGGTGAGATTGTTTACGACGCCTTTCCCGGTGCGAGCACGAGCGCAAACATCGCGCCAGCTCGCGCCACGTCGGACGCTGGCCAATGCATTGCTGGTGTGCACTAGGCGTTGCATGAGGGATCGCCCCCACCCGCCACGGATGGCGCGGGAAGGGATCGACGGATCGTCCGGCGCGCCTCGTTGCGACCTGGTGGCCTGTGCGTGAGTTCCCGAACCCACTACGCCGGACTCCTGTGTTGTTGCTTGCGCTTTCGAGCAGTTGTAGCAGAAATGTGTTCGCATTTTTACGCCTGGTGCGACGGTATCCGGGCGCTTTGGCGGCCTGGCGGGCGTCTAGCACGTTTGCCTGAGGCTGTCTCGCCGCCATCCTGAGGGCCCTGGGTGGTATGTCCGGCGCGCGTTTCATATATCCGCTGCGGTTCTACATCGCTGAGGGTCGCGAGGGTGTGCATGAGGATACCATAAGGGTGGGTGAGGGGAGGGGCTCGGTGTTGTCTTCGTCGGGCGAAATGTCTAAACTGAGAGCCCGTTTTACCCCACCCCCGCACTCTATGCCGGACCGGCCAGACGCGAAAAATAGCAGCGGCCCGGCGACTGCTTTTTGCGGGATCCTTGCGTCTGCCCGAAGGTTTGGCTGTTCTCGAAGCCTAGCCCCGAAGCTTTGTCTCTCCATGGACGGAGATGCTTCAGAGCCTGTGTCACGAGACGTGCTGCACTGAGTAAGCGTTCGGCGTCTGCGCAGCGGAGCAAGGTGAGGGTTGGAAGGGGATGAAGGGCCAGAAAAACTACGAGAATTAATTTTGTCATTGGGTTCCAGGAGAATTCGCAAAACCCAAAAATCATTCAGTATCCATTGAGCTCGCTGCGCGCGTTGCCTAATGATTGCTTTGTATGCACATTTTCTAATGGAACGGACTTCGGTGAGAGCTAGGGTCCGAAGGATATTGTGGATGTACGGAGCAGACCCAGCGGAGATCATGCGGGGCAATAACGCGGCGCCCAGGAACTATCTTGGGTTAGCTTCGCGCCCGGCGCCACGGCCGCCACTGGGATTGACGCCGCCCTGTGGCTTACGATTGCTTTCTCTGCTCAAGCTCGACGCTAGCGTCGAGAGGGGGACCTGCGAGGTGGCGAGTTACGGCGGGAGGTCTGGGCAGAGTATCGGCGGCGGCGCTGCACAGCATGCAGCCCGCTCAGCCTACTCAGCCCGGCGAGCGGCCAAGGCTGCCGCCAAGGCCGCCGATAAGCTTCGCTCTCCCCTTCGCCACACCCCCGCCATCGTACCTATTGTACCTTCGTCTCGACGCTCGTGGCTGACGTCTGGATGTGTCGGGCTGACTTGGACAGATATGGGGACATGAGCGGTCCCGATGGGGATCCGTGTGGGACTTACTATTGAGCACAATCATGCTGTCTCGAACCCAGATCCGATCCTGCGATCTAGGCTGGGGCGCCGGCGGCAGCATGTGATGCATCCGTGCTTTCATGCGAGAAAAGACCGAGGACATGCAACAATGAAATGCATGCCCCACTCGCCACATGCAAGCTAAGCGGAAAGCATGTGATGTGCGGCGGCATGAACTGGGTAAACTGCTCAAGTGGGCTAGACTTTTAGGCCAACTTCGCCTGTGCCGAACCCCGCAAAGATGGCGAGGTGAGAAGTGGGTGGCGATCCAGGAATTGTCAATGGTGGGCCGGCATTCAAGAAGTGGATGTGGATTTACGACTTTCCGCGCCTCTTTCCGCTCGCTATCGACTCCGGTACCGTCAGATGCCGTCCTGGCATTGCCAGATGTCAGCAACCATGCCGAATGTCAGGTTTTACGTACGAGGGGGTGAACGCCTCCTCGAGGGATGGCCGTCTCCCCACCTGCAATGCATGTGATGGTTCTGTACTGGGCACGGATAAGGGTTCCCAGGAGCCCACCCGAGTCCATGGCACGGTGCCGTAGAACGGCAGCGGAGTGTCAGGCTGGTCAGGCAGCGGCGCCGTGTCAAAGCACGGGTCACTTGGTCCATTAATATCCCTTTGCATGCCGGGGTTACTACCACGCCAGCGGTGACTTGACATTGATTAGGTTGCTGAGAGCTGCGTCGCCGCATGCTCTCTACGGCATGGCATGCTGCGGCGCGTGCGAGCGGGTGATCATGTGCATGTGTGATTCCACGATCCTCCGAACCCGCAGCGGCGCAGCGACCTGGGCAGCGTACATCCTCTCGGCGCTCGCGGCTTGGCCCGGGACAGTGTGGCTGCAAGGCGTCCGGCGCCACCAAGCCTCTCCCTCTGTATGGACCATGCGTCCAAGTAGTTTGGATGAAGAGGCCCACGACTTCCCTAAGATGCGCCAGGGGTCGCCAAAATGAAAGACAGAATCCCATGCTCTACAAACAGCCAGCCCAGGATCGAATACCCTCTGCTCTCATGCCTGGGATGGATTAACCCGAAGGCCTAATTCAGGAACGCGCCTGGGTGTGCCTGTGCCTGATTGGGTCCTGAGGGATCCTCACTCAAGATACTTGGATGCCGCCAGGCAACAGTTTGCTGGACACCAGCCGTTGCTCGTCCATACATGCAGAAAGCTTCGTCCGTTGTTCGTGGCTCGTCCGTCCGTCGTCCGTGTGGCGCGGAACATTGCTTGACATGGGTTGCAGACGATCCCACTTGCCGGACTGGACCCTCAGGTCCGGACACATGCACGGACCCCTGCCGGTCACCGCACTCACCGGCATCGGTCTGGTCGAGACTGCTGGCAGGAGGAGTTTCATATCAGCTTGCTTCATCGCTCATGTCAAGTGAGGCTATGCCTCCGACGCAGACCCAAGCGGCGGCGCAGTCTCATGGGGCAAGCCTCTTAGCTTCACGGGCATTAAAATCTCTTCTCCTCTGTAATGCATGACCACGTAAACCATCTGAGGCGTTCCCAACAGCATGGTGTACCCCCTCGTTTGGGTGTTGTCGTTAAACGACCGCCACTCGATTGACCAAGCCGCACTCCTCAGCGCCAATCGACAGTCTCAAACTCTGCTACGCGACAGATCTCGCTACGCGCGCATGCCCCAACCATACCACGCGTGTCCGCGTGCCCACCAAACAGCCCACCCGTGCACCCGATACGAGGTGACAGCCAGACACACCTGCCTCGCTTAACGAAAACGAGGAATTTGATCGCACACAGAGTACCAGCAGTCCTTGTCCCATCCTGTCCCAAGCAAAGCGAGTGAGGCGCCCCTCACCCCTCAGTGTTCTCCGTACATCCGTCGCAATATGCATCAGCCAGGCCATCAGCCACTCAGCGCCCCCGCGCCCGAGATTAACGGCCTGTCCTGTCCGTTGGCCATCCGGCCGTCGGCCGTATCCAAGAACGTGCTCTACGCACGCAGAGTCCGACGCGAGCCCGACGCCATGCCCGAATCCGATCGCTTGCAGCTACGAGATTGATCTCGTTTAGTGCGCTGTGCATGCCGTGAACCCACGCGTAGCGGGTACCAAGCATGTGAGGCCAGCTTAACCGGTTGCTTTACCGCCCTCCGAGTCTAGCGTGAGCATCCCGAGCCCTATCCAAGCGACCCGGGTGCAAGCGAGTGCTATCCCGCGACGAGGCAATGCCACCCACTGGCCCACCACGCAGCACTGTGAGCAAGTCGCCGCAAGCCGCGGTTTCACAGCTTCACAGCAGACGACGCACGCACGTAAAACAGCAAGCACCCTCGGCGCGGATCGCAACAGCCACACAGATGGGCTAAGTGTAGCACGCCGCTGTTCCATCCCCGAACCCCCCGTTTCTAAACTCGTCCTCCTTGTACGTCGCGGTCTCGCCGACGTCGGGTCGCTTGCCGGCCACAACCCTGCCGGCAGAGTCCGGCTCCGATCGGTCTCGGTACCCTTGGCCACACCGTGACCGCGTCTGCAATGGTCGCACGTGCAGCACAGTGTGGACACGCATTCCACTGGGCTGGACCAGAGCATAGCCCGTAGCATATGGAGACCATTGAGCATAGAGTGTAGACCGATGACCGTCGCCAACGCCCTTTCCCCAGTAGTTGAGACCGACCCGTCGGTAGAGATGGAACATACGCAGTGTCTCAGCAAGCTAGTGCACAGCTAGAGCACATCGGTGTCATCCCGAACCCCAATTGCGAGGCCATGCGATGCCGGTCCGAAGGATCCGTCGGAAGCAACCGTATGGAGGATCGAGTACGCACGTCTCTGAGCAAGCGTTGCGTTTCCAGTACCGGATGCGATCGCGATTGACCAGTTGTCTCGGTCAAGGCATCGCGTATTTCTGGCTCCTCGTTTCGTCTTGGCTCCTGAACTCTCGTCTGAACTCGTTAGGACTCGCCGCACAACTCAGGCCCGCGCCTCCGCAGTCAACTCGCGCAACTTGCGCAACCCCCCTCCTCTATGAATACACTCGTTGCAACCCCGTCGGCACCATCTGTCCGACGCCCGACGTGACCGAACCTCCCGACCGAGGATCTGCCTCTGCCTACTGGTTGGAGACTCGTGCCTCGGCGCCCGGGTCGAGTGCTCTTGCAGCCGTGTTCGCCGGCACGTTATCCGTCTCTGCACGCTGGTTCGCCGGTCGCCTCTCCTATGCAGATCAAACGCAATATAGGGGTGTGTGTCCTGAACCGTTGCTGCACGACTTTCCAGGCGACCAGGAGGCCAGGTAAGAGTAAAGAATACGGTGGCTGCAGTTTGATTGCAGGCTTGGCTCGTACGTAAGCCTGCAGAGTGGCGATCGCCTGATCAGCAGAGATCAGCCGTGCGCCTGTCTGTGCTTGGCTGGGCGTAGCGCGCAGACCTCTTGACCTCCATCCTCTGCACTGCGGGCTCTGTGCCAGCCAGACACTACTGCCAGCGGTAACTGCAAGAGCCCACGTCCCCCTGTGCTGCAAGCGTTGTGTGTCCGATCCCCCGTACCTTTGTCTGTACCTCAAGCCTTCGTGGACCCTGGCTGCCCTCTGAGTGCAGTGTCCCTGAACCCTGAAGCTTGGCTTGGTGGTCGAGTCGCCCTGCTCAGGGTCCATGTCTCAGTGTCTGACTGGCTGACTCTTCCTCTCTGTCTGCGCTCGCTTGCCTCGTCTGCGCTTGTCTGCGCTGGCTGTCTTCGTCGTTCCCCTCTCTCGCTCGTCGCCCGTTGACCCTTAACCGCTTGGTACCCATCCCATCCTCATCCTCATCCTCCCTCCCTCGCTCGCTCTCCGATTCGGATCGCCCATCCTCCCAGTAAGCCCTACCGCCCTCCTCCTTATCTCCATCTCCATCTCTCTCTCTCTCTCCTCTCCTCTCTCCTCTTCTCGTCACTTCCAACTCCTCCTCTTCTCACCCGACCATCCTGCAAGAGGACCACGACATCCCCGACCGACTCTCTCCCTCGGCGCATGCGTATAACGCTTTCTCTCTCGACTGCCGCCCTGCGATCACCTCATTCCCATTCCTTGCCGCCGGCATCACCTGCTCAACTTGCCCACAACCGCGGCTCCCACCACACCAAACCAACTAGTCTCCTCCTCGCATCGTCCGCCCGCAGCCTGCGCCTTGGAGAGCCTGAGCCTACTTTAGACTCTGCGCACACACGGCATTCATAAAGCACTTGGGCGACACTATATCCCCTCCCCAAACCCACCGCGCTATCCGAACACGACTCGTCCACACCGCTTGTTGCATCTTCACATCTACCACCACCGCATCGATCATCCTCTTTCACCAAGTCCGTGCACCTCTCGCCAGCGACAACGACTCGTCACCCCCTCTCCAGCACTGTCCACATCCCACACCCACGTTTCCTGTTAACTTGGTCCTGACCTCTCGCAGCGCCCCGGCGCCCCGCCTCCATACCGTCCACAAACGACTGTCTTCTGCTCCGGCGTGGCAAATCCGGCCACGCCGTGTGCAAGCCCCACATCGACCTTGAGTACCTCCGCCCCGACATGACCGGCACCCTCAGCTCGGCGTCGAGCTCGACCTCGCGCCGCACGTCGTTCTCGTCGACGGCTCCGCCACCGCTCCTGACCCCGGACGTCGAGTTCCCCAATCCGCCCCTCATGGCCGTCTTTGCCGCTGACGCTGCCGACGAGCCCGCCGCCATCCCCCTCCCCTCCAACCCCGTCAAGCCTACGTTTGACCCCGCTCCCTCCCCGTCGCCGCCGCGCAAGGCCCCTGTTGAGGCGCTCAACATTGCGGGCACTATCAAGGAGATTCAGGAGCAAAACGCCGCTAGCAGCTTTTCCTCGTCCGGCAGCCGCCTCACGTCGACCCCGACCTCCGAACTCGGCCGCTTCGACTACCCCTTCACCGAGACCCCCGCCGAGCCCGCGCCGGCAGCCCACCACCACCGCCCGAACACCATCACTTCCCGCTCCAGCACGACCCCGACGACTGCGCGCCCGGCCCGGCCGGCC